TAGTGCTTATAGCGAAATGTAGCGTTGTGTACTTATTAAGAGACTTTACAATTTTCGATTTAAGTACGATATCATATATTTTTAATAAAGTTAATTATTTTAAAAATTTTACCCTTTTCAATATTAGTAATTATATGTACGCGGAAAATAAGCGGATTCCTATAGAGGAGTATAGTATTATTATAATTATAGTTTAGGACGATGACGGAGATAGAGAATTCTAATTCTTTAATATCGTTTTAATACTAAATATAATTTATAATTTTATTTCTTTGAAATAATTCGAAAATAAATAAATTTATTAGAATTATAAGAATAATTACCTACGCTCCCGCCTTATAAATTCCCTTAATTATAATATTTTTTCTAAATATAAGTAATTTGTTTTAGAATATATCCTTTTATAGAATAGTGTTGACGAATTTTCTTTTATTATATAGTATATAAATTATATTAAGTAGAAGTTTTAAGAGGGTGAGTTTTTTCGTTAGTATTTTCGATTTAGTTATCCGGGACCCGAAATTTTAATTAAGTTAACGAAATAAAAGTATAGCGTACGATTTAAGGGATTAGATATAGTATATTACGAATTATATATTAAAATTAAATTAAAGTATTAGGTATATAGAGAAGTTTATAATTATTTAGAGGGCTTTAGGTTACAATTAGTTATCAATTTTTTCTTTTATAAGGAGGTAGAAGTAGGGGGTTAGAAGTATTTAAATTTAATAGTAGTTATAGATTAGTAGTTTGGATTCGTTTAAGTATATTATTTAAGTAATAGAGAAGCCGAATTCATTATTACGTATTTAGAATCTTTTTATATAGGGTTATAAATTTAATATTAAATTATATTTCGGGTAATCGAATGTAATAATAAAATAATTAGTAGTAAGAAGATTACTATTTGGTTTATTGTAAACGGAATTAGTATTAAGCCTTTAACGCTTTATATATAAATTTAAAATGGCGGCGTAGAGTATTTAAGGGGTATAATTAAAATTAAGGGTACGGTAATATAATTAGGTATAAATTTTCTTTATAAATTATAGATAGAGATTATTAGAGTAGTTGTATATTTATATAACCTAACCTTTAAGGCGGAATATTATTGGAAATTTCTTTAAGATTGATTCGAAATATATTATTGATTTAGAAACGGTATTATTCTTCTATTAGACCCTTCCCCTACTATTATATATTTTAAAGTATATAGTTATAAGGCTTTTACTTTTATAATAAAAAATTTAAAAGAATAGAATAAATTGATAAAATTTAAGGATTGTATTTGGGTCAGTTATTTAGTTAGATATTAATTAATAAATATTTATAGGATTTAGAATCCTTATATTAATTTTATTATTATTATACGAAACGTTATATTTAATAAAGACGAGGTCTTCTTTAGTAGTAACGTTAAAGAAATCTATAATATTTTTTTTAAATTTCTTTTTAAAGAATTAGTTATATAATTAAGAGATTTTTATTAAATAAATATTATATAAATAGACGTTTTATAGGTTAAAACTATACCTATTATAGATGATGGAGTTTTTAGCCCCATTGTTTAAGATTTTCTTATTAAGATTGAAAATATATTAGGGGAACAAGGGGAATTAGGGTTTTTAGAAATATAAATATAGTTTAAATCTTTAGAAGTCTTATAAGTATTAAGGATATTATTAGGTTTAGAGATATTGTAAAGGTCTTTAGAGCCTTTATTATCGCCGCTTATATAATCGCTATTAGATTTTTAGGGTACGGTTTTGAATTCGAAGGATGAAGAAGAGGGTTATTTCTTTACGCCTCTTAATAATCTAACCGCGTGTTTAATAACCGATTCTTCTTATTTTAATAAAGAATTATAGTTAATTATAAATTAATACCTTTATTAGGCTACGTTATTCTTATTTATAAAGGGTAATTGATTTATAGGCTTTTAGGGAGATAAGGTCGTAGATTAAGCCTTCTTAGAATAAATAAGAGAAAGGGGTATTAATATGAATTCCGGCTATAATCTTAAATTAAAAATAATAAGGGTTATTATTAATTACTATAAAGTAAAGGGTATATTGAAGACCTTTTATTAAATTAATTTTCTATTTCTTTTAAAATATTATAGTAATTCTAACTTTTATTCTCTTAGGGAATTCTTTAAAGCTATAGAGAAGGAATACCTAGATAAATATAAGAATAAAAAGTTTTAGAAGTAGGTTAGTATTAAGGAAGCGGGAGATAACAAAATATTCGGTTTAATATAAGTATATATTTATAAATTCAATTAAGACGGCCGGTTCTTTAAATATAAAGTGCGTTTTAATTATATATAAGGATTAGTAATTTAAGGATAGTATATATAAAACGTATGTAGCGACTTTAGTAATTAAGTTATTTTGTATTTTGATAGCTATAACCGCCTACTTTAATTTCGATTTGATTTAGTACGACGTAAAGAACGCTTTTATTAATATTATATTCAATGAAGTAGTATTTATAAAGGTTCCCTTTAAGTATATTAGGAAAGGTTAGGTATTTTAATTACTATACGCGCTATATAGGTTGCGAAGATCTCCCCTCTTTTAGTAATAGGAATTTATTAAAACCCTTATAACTATAAATATAAACCTTCTCCTTATAGAGCTTAATATCTTAATTAAAAATAATGTATTCTTTTTCTTCTATATTAATAACATTGTTATCGCTTATAAATATAGGGATAAAGAGATTACTATAATTAAAGGGGTAGTGGTTACTATAGAGAGGAAATATTAATTAATAAGTGGAGAGTTATTGAAGTAGTTTTAGGTATTAAGATTACTCGAAATTAAGAGAAGAAATTGATTTAGTTATTATAATACAACTATATTTAGAAAATTGCGGAGAAGGTTAAATATATAAAGAAATTATATTCTATATTTATAATTAGGGATGAGTTTTTATTTTATTAAAATAGTATAGCCCCGTACGAAATTTACGCGTATTAAATTAAAATTGGTTCAATTTTCTACATTATTATTATATTGCAATTAGACGTAGCCTTTCCGGTCTCCAGATTCGTTCAATTTAATTTAAACCCTAATCTAGCGTATTATACAATTATAAATAGAGTGCTCTTCTACCTTCTAATAATTTAAGATTATACCCTTTAATTAAATAGTAAAAATTATTGGGACTTTTACATTATAAGTGATTTTTTATTTATAAATAATTTGTTTGATTGAAAGAATTTATAAGTATTTATATTTAAATTATTAGGGGCTACTATCGATTAGGGTACTAATAAGTAAAATATAATTATCATTTTATTTTTAAAAATTGAATTATTATCCTTTAATTAAGGAGCTAAGGAGGTAATTTACGCCCGCCGTTTCTTTAACGAATTTACTTTAAGATTTGAAGATTAAGAAGCTACGCTTATAAGCTATAATAATAAATAAACAATACGATTTGTTGTAAAGGAAGGAATTTAATTCGTAATTAAGCTTAAGTACGTCAATATATATAAATATTAGTTAAAGTAAGTATAAGAGAGGAAGTTAGTAGACGTAATCTATGTACTTATTAAGGAGTAGATTGCGGATAGCTTTATACAAAGTTTTCTTCCCGCAGTATATTTAAAATTAATAGAGTAATTAGGATTCGTAGAATTATAGTAGCTATAGATTTAATTGCGAGAGTTTAGTAGCGGAGATATTGTTATAGGCCGCCTAAAGGGTATAGAGGATTTTATAGAGGAGGATTCGGGTAATAAATCGGTAAGTATAATAGTAAGTGTAATAAAGTAAGATTCTTACGAATAAAAGTTTGAAAGCTATTGTAACGAGGAAGTAATTTGGGAATAGTATTATTTTTGGCTAATTTTGGGAGGATTTTAGAGCATTTCAGGGTATATCTAAGTAGATTTGGCGTAGTTTGTACACTAGATCTAAGGGGGTATATTAGAGGCTAGGGGATCTACTGGGCGTGTACGTGCCTAGCTGGATTGGGATATGCGGGATTTTTACCCAGATGCCAGAGCTTCGAGTCTGCAGAGCCAGTCTTAGACACACACACAATCAAGCCACGTTGAACCCATATCGATCATCACCAGTAATATCACAGCAGGCGGGTGATGTACATTTCATATATACTAAAATTTTGCTAATCGCTGGTATTTTTGCTAATCGCTGAACCAGACCCCATGCGCAGCATGGGGTCTGAGGCGCTTCGAGCCCAGACGAGTACTGCCCAATTGGGACATGAGGAAGCAGATGATTGGTTCAGCTGTGGCTGGACGTTCTTGGCGAACGATGGTTCATCAGATGTCATCAGATGGTGAATCTGGCGTTGATGCACTGGCAGAAGTGGAACAAACATGTTTCATGCCAGTTACAAAAATTGCCGGAAGCGGTCAAAAAGATCCCTTCGAGCATCCCCAGTGCCAAGGTACACAGTGATATCGATGGTGTTTCTTGCAGGGCCTGATGTGAGCTTGGACTCCATGCCCGCCGGTAGTTCCGAGTACTGGGATGGCACGTCTTGCTCTCTCCTTATCCATCCAAGAACGCATCTTGTACATCATCAACGGTGCTACCTCTCATCTATATGATCAACTGGGAGTATATCTACCACATTAGCCCTCCGGGATGAAATACTTTTCCGGGGTGATAACGAATCCTTGGATGTTTGCAGCTTTACGCTTATGCACCCAGGTGTAGTACGCGTCAAAACCCGGCCCCCTTACTGAATGACTAGGCCCGGTGGACACTCGGCAATAACACCCCAATGTCAACGAAAGAGGAAGATAAATATCATTGTGTATCCAACTAGGTCCCGCAGATTTGAAATGATAGGGGTTTCTGCTATGTTGGGGCCTGTAGTTGCCGGAAACCGGTAGGGGAAATGGCGTTATCCTGTCCTCCGTTGATGTCGTTCAACCCTAACCCTCCGACTTAGGTGCCACCCTTCTCTTCTCTTCTTGGCACCATTTCTCCGAGCATCACCAACGCCAAGGTAAATGTTCATGAACTTCCTTTGCCGTTCAACAATTCCTTTTCCGCATTCTTCTCTCCCCTACCCCTCGCGGCTTCCACTCCCTCCTGCCCATCGTCAATAGCATCATCTCCTTCAGACCCGTCAATCTCCCTCAAAATCATTCTCGCGGCAATTTCCCTTCCCACTTCCGGCCCTCCACAAACCTTCGCCAACTCCTTGGCTTTTTCTGCGTACACCGACCATCTCCCCCCTACAACGACATCGATCAAAACGTCTGCCAGCTCCTTCGCATTGCACAACTTATTGCTGTTTTCAGATGACTCGGAAGCCAAGCGGTTTCCCCAGCGCCCAATGCCGAGGATCTCCACTCGGCGGGCAAAATCGTAGCAGTCCATCCATGAAGGGAGAATGACTTGAGGGATACCGGCGCTGAAGATGACTGCGATTAGTATGGACAGCAAGGTTGGAGTGGGGATGGAGACAAGTACTTACCAGACGGTTTCAAGAAACGAGTTGGCGCCTCCGTGGTGAACAGCGCAAACCAGATTACCGCTTTGTAGGATGGCTGTTGGCTCAGCTTGGAACCAATTGACTATTCGTACGGTGCCTGACTCTATTTCCGGGCCAAGAATGGAGTAGATTGGTGACTTCTTTTGATCTTCACGGCATCCTCCATCCCCATGACAGTATCCATCCTCTTGACCGGCCTCATTCTCCTCACCACCACCACCGTCCTCTTTACCTCCCTTCCGACCTCCCTCGTTCCCCTTCTTCACAAAGCCGGGCACCTTCCACAAGATCTTCAACCCCCTCAATCTCTTCTCCGTATCCCTCCACACAGTCCCCATCGCCACATCCAACAACATCCTCACCGCCCTTGCCATCTCCTTCTGCCCCGCCTCATCAAACAGCACATGCGTCCCAAGATTGATATACACCGTCTTACCACCTTGTTTTAACCACCCCGCCAACTCCGGATCCGCCTCCTCTAGCGGTTTTGACGGTCTGATCATCGGTCCGCACGGAATAATATGCCTTGCTATGACCTTCAACGGGAACTCAACCTCCGGTAGGTTAGCCACGAGAAACTTGACCCGCATTCTATCTGGGCTGAGGCTGAGATCGTTTAGCGTCGTGACTTTTGTTTTCTCATCAGTGTGCAACGTGAGATGTCGCTGGATGGAACGGCGATTGCTGTCGAGGAAGGCGGCAACAATAATGGAGAACAAAATCAGGTAGATATTCCATGGGATGTAGAGCAAGGGAACAGGGAATGGGTAGGCCATCCCGATGCACGGGTACTTCCAGAGGGCTTGGGCGTGGGGCTGGAAGGGCATGGCAAAGTCTTTGATAGTGTTGGGGGAGAGAATGATGAATTTGAAGGTGTTGGGACTTCGGTCGCTATGGTTGATATAGCCGAGGGCGGTCAAAGCATGGGAAAAGGCCGGGTCGACCGCGACGATGGATGGTTGGACATTGGTGACAATCTCGACGATGGCCCAGAAGATCTCAACAAACTCGGGGCCGAGCCAGGGGAGCGTGACCCGCAACAGGAGGCGCATGCGCCGGATGGCGCGGATGAGGCCGATGCGTGTTTGGTTCATGTTGACCCGGTCGGCGGCGATTTCGGGTCGGAGCCAAGCGGATACCATGTCGATGCCCGGGATGGTGTGGAAGATGATGGGGCGGGCAAGAGCCTTGTCACGCTTGGCATCTTCGTATGTGGAGAGGACATACTTCTGGATGGGTGGGAAGGAAGCGAAGTGGACATCAACATCTTCGTCTGGGAGTGTGAGGAGGGCGTAACTGGTGGCTAGGAAGACGTTGGCTTGGCCGTGCTCGGAGTTGGTGAGGAGTAGGACACGTTTGGTATGCGAGATGGATCCCATCTTCTGCTTCTTTGTGTCAAGGCAGGCAGTATCTGCGCTGATGCTTGGGGCAAGTGTTATGCAAAGCTGATTGATGGCATAGAGGCGTTGATCAGAAGGGGGTGGCTGCGATATTAAGTCACTGACCTCCTTTGTGTCCTGGATCTCTAACAGTGCGAGGTGGAAGAAGCGCGGTGCGTCTTATGGTGTTTAAATATGGTGGACGGCGAAAGATGAGCGTTGGACAGACTTTCGGCTTGTTCCGTTGCCTAAGTTTCAACCAATGAGTTACAATAACTCTGCTAGATCCATGATATCGCGGAAGGTGGGGTGCTTCTCCCAAAAGGGGGATCACACCAAGTCCTTCCTGCTTCCGAGACGCGATGCTGACTCGTTACGGCGGCATAATAGTAATGTTGCGTGCTCCTTATCGGCCTCCCGGAGATGACGATAGGTACACCGCGGCGATAGGCGAGTAAGATATACCAGGTTCAGCCCACCAGGCAAACCACACATCCATGAGTGATGGAAGATCCAATGATGTTCATTGATGGAACCCAGATAGCGCTCGCCAAGGTAGCCGCATCTTGACAAGAGATCTGCTTGCAGGGGAAGCAAGATGTCAACCGTCGGTCCGGCCTCCATTCATGGAGGCACCGAGTAGACGGAGTGACCCCAACTCAGGAGTAGAGGTGCAATTGTTCATCTGGGGGCTTTCGGTTTCATGGTGATATCGAGAGATGATGTAGTAATTTATGCCGCGTCAGTCATTTAGGGGCATTCTGGCTAAATTGGTTGATATGGGCGCGACCAGTCAGACACTTGAAACAAGGTATACATTGACTTTGCCAGGGTACGAACCTGGGGTCTCCAGCTCTGGGATAACTGCCAATAATCCCACCAACGTGGTCATATCATCTTCATAGCCAGGGTGTAGGTGAGGTCTAGAACTCGATGTGTGTAATGAAGGACAACCTGGTTTGTCGGGACTGTGAAAATGTCAGTGAACCAACCGCTGCCGTCCCATGTTTAACAGCTCATCTATGAAGAAGCTTGATTCACGGGGGTCCGAAGACGCACCCAAGAGATGCGCAAACATGGAGATGTAACCTGCCATCTGATGCCGTCTTTCGGATCCTACCTAAATTGTCGACGAAGCTGATCATCGTTGATCCAGCCGATGACACTCAGTAGGACGGTCGTGGTTCCGGTCCTAGATTGCGAAGCTCTTTCATGCCCAGCGCCGTTTCTATTGGCAGTCCTTCAGGAGTAGTGGTTCGTTGGTCGTAGATGTAGTTTCGCCAAATTGATCCTGTAAACTTGACGAGTCGGGTATGACGTTGTTTGTTGTAGGAAAGTGAACGAGCAGCTCAACCCTCCGAGTCAGTTCTTCCTGTTTTGCGGTGGTTCGCTGGCCAGGAAGTTGCAGCGGAGAATGGAAAGTTTTGCGATATTGGTAGTCGGTCGAACTTTCCTCAGACGATCCTGTTCAGACAGCATCGAGAGCACTCTGCAGCTGGCGCGGTAGGCAGCAAGCAATTACATGCAGCTGCGGGCATGACGCTCTTTCCACTCTAGGACAATTTTTTGACCAAGTCGCCTGCGTTTCGCAGCCTTGATCTCTCGATCGTCAAGACGCTGTACGGTAACTTCCTTGTTTCAACAGATCATGGTGTGGAAAGACAACTTATGCTCCTGCAAGGGCATCTCCAACGCCCGATTCACCATCTGATGAACTGTTGGCAAGAATTCCCAACCACATTTAACCAACTACATTCTTCATCATGTCCCAATTCGGCAATGTCAAGGATTCCAGCCATCAAAGCTGCAGGTTGGTTAATTGGGGGAAAGGTGCGGGTCTCCTCCTCCATAAAATGATGCCATGATTGGCGTAGAACTTCCAGCGAAGGCCGTTCTTCGGGACAATGTTATGTAGGAACAGAACTGTTTTGTCTTGTTCGGTCTCTGCAATTTGGCAGGAAAGTTGCTTGATTCTGGGGTTGGAATGGACCCCAGGTCGTTCCGAGAATGGGGACGGGTTCTGATAGTTCTCAATTTTTTGGTATTTAGAACACACGTCTTACTCTCTCCGATTTCATCCATGGATGCATTTCGTACTTCATCAAAGGCGTTACGTACCATCCATATGACTGACTGTAAGGATGTTTACCAGTTTCGTCCGACGGGAATATTGTCGCCATCTCCAAAAAAATCCGGCTCCCCAACCTGCACCTCCACTGGAATCCTGGCCTCGTGCCACCACCAGGCCGTAGCCAAGAATCTATCAACCGCCTGGGCGAGAGGCGAATGTCCTGAGGCGGCCTGTTGAGCCAGATTCTGGCGCTCGGCGGCGGCTGCCAGAAACTTCTCACGGCCTTCGACGACCGCGAGGAACAGGGCGTCGAACACGTTGGAGCTGAGCTGTTGGCCCAGCCTGGTGCCTTCCCGTGTCCTATCGACAAAGGATTGCTCGTCCGCAAGCACATCGAAGTCTTCCTCGAGAAGACCGGAGAGGCCGACTGCGGCGAGGGGGTCGACAGAAATTTGGGCGGAGAAGCGGCCTCGAAGCGAGTCGCCGTATCGACGACCTCGCAGAGGAGATTCTCGATGGCCCGTCTTCCAGGCCGGGACGGGAGGAAAGCTTTACGCCGGGGTGGGTCTCGTGGACCAGGGATTCGAGGACCTGCACGACCACCTCGTTTCTTCTATCAGGGCGAAGGATATTGGCCCGGTTCCAGAACATCCCATTTTTGGGCATGAGGCGCTTGAGGTGGGGTAGGGGGCCATTGCCCGTGTGGTTGGTGTTGGTATTGGCAGACATTTCGAGCTCGGGTCACTATAAGACATATGTTATTAGTAACATGCAAGCAATCCAGTCAGCAAACGATGTATGTGGTGAGCTTTGTGAGCAGTGCCCTAGGGGGCACCAGACAGGTACGCAGGGTGGCAGGCCAGGATGATTATATGGTGAAACATATGCCTGATCGCGGTTGGATTAATCAGAACCTCGAGTGATCTCTACATACCTTCTTGAGAGCAGGCCAACGGTACCGTGCTGCACGTGAATAGGGTTCAGGACTGACGTTTGGGGTGGAAGGAAAGCGACAGGACGAAAAGCGACAGGACGAAAAGCGACGGCGAGAACAACGAGACGTGGGCCCGGGTGTGGTCGTGGAAACGGAATATGAAATTTGTTCGTCGTCGGTTGGAAGTAATGGAAATCGAAGGCCTTTTGTATGTTTGAAGAGCCATTCTGTTGCCTCTACCTATGTGTAGCTCCTACTATGATCCCGACTTCAGATGAAAGTACGGTCCTTCCTGTGTATGTGATATTAGTACATAGGTCCTATGGCGACCAGCACAAGAGAAACAACATCGGTTGAGACATCCTGAATCCAGCAACAAGAGTGACAAACCAGCAGCTCGGCGGGCATTCTCTCCTTCCTCACTCAGCTAATGACCTGATTGTATTTTTCTTAGCAGGAGTAACCAATGGGAATGATGTGCTGAAGTTCTACCTTACATCCCAAGCTCGGCAAGCACGACTTCTCACCCAAGAAGTACAACTAGATGTACTTAACCTTTTGCCCGATGATACCAAGCAACTCCTGAAATGTCGCTTCCGTCTATGTGCCATTAAGGTATGCATCAGATCCTGGTCAGGAGCACAGAAAGGAGGCACGATTGACTGAGAACCCAATCTGTGGGCTTTGTTCTCGTCCATTCTCCCCCATCGCCTCAATGAGATGTCTGTCCACAAAACTACGATGTTACAACCGCTTTGCTCGCCGGAAAGAACAAAAAATGGTAGTTAGCAAAGGACGGGCAGATATCGAACATGGGACGTGAAGCGACTGGAAAGGAGTAGTAGAGCCTACAAATTATTTGCGTAACCGGAAGGCGCCAGCAGCAGCACTACTTCAGAGTTCAGAACACATGCATACACCAAACCTGTGCCTTCCCCTACTGAGAAGTACAGTGCTGCAGCTTCTTCGTCTAGATCCTCCACCACCACGGCGGTTGCTACACCTCCCATCGTTCTAGCCCTCCCGATGCGACTTCGCCGCCGAGAACTTAGTCCCACAGGACCCGGCCGTGCCCGGCACTCGCTGCTCGCCCAAGCGGCTGCTACCTAACACCAATGGCAGCACTATCGCGCATGCTTTCGGACCCGTCGATGCTTTCCACCGATAACTTCCATCACGTTGCGTAGTATGTCGTTTTGGCAAGTGGAAACTTTGCAAGATCGACAGTTTCGAGGTTGAGCAGGTTCTTGAACGATTTGACGAGCACGTCGCATGCGCAGCCGGATGCCAACAGTGTCTGTTGATCAGCGTAGGAAAGGTGGCAGTTCAGGGATTTATGGTCGTCGTTTCCAGAGCTGATTCTGTGGGGTGTGGGCTGAGAGACTTTGATCGGCGCTGATGATGACATGCTTTAAGTACGGATCCAGACTATGTCGCCTTTTGGAGATATCGACGAGTACCTGGAGACTGTGGGGCCTTAAGGCATGAAATGCTTTTTCAGAAAGAACTCGTAGGCAAATACGGAGGGAATCATTTGGAGCTGTCTCAGCACCATGATACTTTCATCTTAGAGTGTGGTGGTAGAATGCCTTGCTCTGAAGGCCGCAAGGCTGTGACGTGTCTAATGGCTATCGTTGCCCCGGATCATATGCTCACAATCAGGTCATACATAATGGTATAACGCTTCACACGAAAGCCTTAAACCCAACCCACCCCCCTTCCCCCCAGCCTCCAGTTCCACCGTCTCCATCTCTCTCACAGGCGACGCCATCCCCTCCAACTCCATATTCAACACCTTATCCATGTTCTTCTGCACCTTCTCCTGCACCTCCTTACCCTCAAACATGAAGCTGAGCTCTTCCAACGTCCGGTTATGCGTCTCGGGAAAGAAGAAGTACACCGTCAAGATCTCCACCATGATCCAGACGCAGTACACGATGTAGTACTTCCATCCAATGCTGTCCAGCGCAATCGGGTTGATGTAGGTGTTGAAAAACACGGCGGCGCTCACGCTGAGTTGCTCCACGGCGATACCCTGCGCCCGCTGTTGGAAGGGGAAGAGCTCGACTAGGTAGGTGTAGGCGAGGGCGTTCCAGCCTATGTTGTAGAATCTGTTTGTATGTGAATGTGAGAGGTTAGTAAGGTGCCTCTACTAGCACCAGTGGGCAGGCATTTCGGGTTGGTTTGGGTTGGCTTGGGTTCGAGACTTACGGTCCGTACACGAAGATGAACACCAAGACGGGGATAGCTGCTCGCGAAGAATTTTCGATGCTTGCTCTGGCGCTGGCGATGGTCCAGACGATGTAAACGACTGCCGTGCCGATGGTGCAAAGCAAAAACATCCTTCGACGCGGAAACCTTGGTGCTATCAGGGCAATGGGCACCGCGTAGATGAGACCCCAGCAAGTGTGGCTGAGGATGATTTTCTGAACGGTGCGGTTGTCCGTAATATTCACCAAAGCCAAGATTTTCTTCATGTAGAAGCTGAGCAACCCGTTGCCGCTCCATTGCGTGAAGAACCCCATGATGGCCGCAATCGTGAATCGCTTCCGCATGGGCGCATCGCGAATAACGTCGGCCCAAGCGAATCTACTCGCCAGTTCTTTTTCCTGGGCAATGGTGCTCTGGATTTGTGCATATTCGAGTCGGGCAAATTCCTCACCGTCGATACCCTCGCTGTGGTACTTGTTCAGGATAGCGAACGCCTCGTCCCCACGATCTTTAGAAATCAGCCACCGTGGTGATTCTGGACAGAAGGGCATGAATGCGATTTGGAAGAAACTCGGTACGAGCTGTAGCAAACTCGGCAGTCTCCAGGCCCAGGTACTCTTCATCTGAAAGGTGCCGTAGGTCGTGCCGGCAGCGACGATGGCACCGACGGACCAGGAAGCCTTGAAGAGCGAGGTCATAATCGGCCGTTCATTGGCGTAGGATAACTCCCCAATCAAGCAGGACGCATTGACGAGGGCGAAGGGAATGCCAAAGCCCAGGACCCAGCGTGAGGCGAGGAACATATCCGAGTTGCGGGCACCGGCCTGTAGGCCACCGCCCATGGACATGATGAGCGAGGCGAGGAGAATTGTTCGACGACGACCGAGATAGAGGCTGATGGTGGGGATAAAGGGGATGGCGCAGAGCGAGCCGAGCGAGTACATCGCGTTGAGTAGGCCTAGTCGACCTTTGGTAGGGTTGTCGAAGTCTAGTAAAAGAGAGTACTCTACAGTTAGTCAACACATTTTGTGGTAAAGTCAACTGGGAAGGTCTGATGGTGGCCGACTAACAGTCTACCCAGGATTCTACAGCTTGAAGGCTGTTCATCATGGACGAGTCGAACCCTGACGTCCATTCTACCCCTAATCCACAAGGAATGAGGATCAGGTAAAGCAGACGAAGGTTTGGTTTTTTATACCACTTTATCGTGTCCGCCTTGGCCAGTTCAGTTAGACGTGAATCGCCATGTTCTTCTTTGGCTCCTATGATGGCCATTTCGACGGAAAGCTGGTCGTCGGGTTCTTGTTGCTCGCTGCGAACGACGACTTGAGGAGAGTTGGGATTTGTGAAGAGATACAATTCAGCCTACAGACCCAGGGATCCCACGACTTTATTTCACCATCTTCCAGGTAAGAGACTAATGGATCATCACATATTTTTCCTCTCTTGGTAAACTGTTCAGCCGCTCTAAGCTAAGCTTCGCTAGCCCAGAAAAAATTGGCTGGCGAAGCTTGCCTCAATAGCATTTTTTCTTAAAAAGCCAAAAGTAAGAGACGAATGGATCATCACATCTTTTTCCTCTCTTGGTAAACTGTTCAGCCGCTGTGGGGCTCTTTGTGCCAAGCACTTCCGCCTTTTTGGCCGTTTGTTCAGTAGATAGATTTCGTAGACTGGTCAGTCCTTCTGACTGACCTTCTCCTCAATCATCACCACTTTTCGTTTGTTCAGTCTTAGCCTCGCGGCTTCAACATAAACTGTTGGTTGCCTGCATTTTGCGGACAGGTCACGTCCAACATGTTGGGGGTCGGGGTCGACATATGTGCTGGTTGGCGAATGGGATAATCACCAGCCGAGGGGTGCCGAGACTGAATGTCTACTTGAAGTTTCATCCTCCGAGGAAGATGCGGGTTGAAATCCGGGGTACTGGTCAACACGGGTGAGACGGGGTATGATGCTACCGAAGGGTAAGGGCAATGTGACGGAAGACCAGTGTAACGGCGTCCCGGTCTTGGATTACACCGAGCTTGTGACAAATGGGAAAACCGACAGGTTGGCTGGGGCGTCAGACTGTTCTCGTGAGATGCGATACGAAGAGTGTAGGGTCAGGTAGTCTCAAGGGAGTGTCCGTTACACCTTTCCTGGCCTGTGCCACACAATCGATCTCAACTGCAGGGCGAGCGTTGCTGTGGTTGTCCATTGAGAGACAATTGTCTTCCCAAGCCATCATTATCTTCGGAGGACTAGAGGTAGTCTTTGAGCACTACCTTTCTCGCATTACTGTTCGCCGTAGTGATGACGAACAACGCTCACAAGGAAGGTTACAGGTGGGAATGTTCTGAACCACGTTACCACACGATAAATGACTGGGAATGCTTAGATAAGCCGGCAACATGACTCAACCACAAGAAAAGGCTGGTTGCAACGCAAATGAAAAGACTAGAGGTGGCATGCCATAGGCTGCGTGGAAGTTTGTGGATTCTCGCGGCAGCTATGTTGGTGAAATTGTCGATCAGGTCAAGAGCTTGAATATCCTCCTCTCCGGCTTATACTCCGATGCTGGGCCCAACTTCCCCTAGACGTCCTAAGACTTGCGTATCGAGACGTATCTTGGAACAATTTGGTTGGAAAGATGGTAGAATATGGACAGAAACTCATGATAGATAGTGTAGCTCAAGTATTTGAGTATGCGGGACCAATAATAGGCTGATAGTTCGACATTTCAGACTCCTGATCCGAGGGAGTGACGAAATCACTCCGAGTGTCGAGCAGTGCCATTGTCTCGTAATCGACAAAGAACGTCCGCGACATACAATGCAGAGCATCGATTGGAGGATGGGAGGCTGAGAGGGTTGCGAGGTATCTTGTTGTAATGGGTTCGTCCGTGTCCTTCCAAGGCAGACAGCAACTGGGGCTGGTCTCGACGGCCTGTTGTAGATCGACCAGACCCAAGAGTAGCCCCGGAGCCTTGTAAGAGCGGACGTCTCTGGCTGAAGACGATTACGGCCTGGCTAGTCATGCTGTCTATCTGGGGCATCGGCCAAAAAACTGACCGGCCAGTGATGTTGCTCCGGTGTTATCACAGTATAAGTTCGACGGCTGCGGCGAAGACCCATGCGAAAAATTGTCCAGTTTGGCAATCCCGAAATTTGGCACGATTTGAGGAGAGGTGCTTGATCCAAGTATAGTCTATTCAAGACCCTATTTGCAACCCCAAGCTCAGTTGACCGGCGCATAGACGAACTCCTCGAGTTCCTTGTAGGCCTTCTCGAGATCCTACAGTGTGTTAGTTGGTGATAGCGCACGGCGTCTTGGAGCGACACGTACCTCGTTGACGATGATCTTGTCATGGACACCGGTCTTGCTGAAAGCGAGCTCGTTCTTGGCCTGAGTCAGTCTCTTGAGAATGTCCTCCTCCTTGTCGGTGCCGCGGCCGCGCAGTCTCTTCTCGAGCTCCTCCTCTGATGGGGGAGCAATGAAGACGTAGCGGGCGGGGAAGCCAGAAGCCTGGATCTGCTTAACACCCTCCATCTCGATGTCGAGAACGACAACCTTGCCCTTGGCAGACTGCTCCTCGATGGTGGCTTTGCTGGTTCCGTAGAAGTTGCTGCCGAACTGCGCACTGTTATGGGGAGTTAGCCGCCAGCTCTCAAGTCGTGTCTCTGTGATTGTTGTTGTCCGTACCTCTCGACGAAACCGCCCTTGGCCTTTAACTCTTCGAAAGCCTCCTTGGTGACATAGTGGTAGTCGACGCCATCCTTCTCGCCAGGTCTGGGGCCGCGGGTGGTATGCGACACGGAAAGAGTGAAAGTGTCGGGGTGTCTCTCGAAAAGGAGCTTGAAGAGGGTGCCCTTGCCGACGCCAGAGGGGCCGGAGATGACGACGGGGCGACGATCAGGAGGGAGAACTGGCAGCGCGGCCGAGTCAGTATTGGTGGAGGATCATGGTGTCTTTAAGAGTAAAGCGGAAAGGCATACTGGGAGCCATTGTGTGGATGAGACGCGTTCGAAGAATGGAGTTGACGAGACGGACTGGGCGCATGGCGGACATTCAGGAGCCAGAGCGCGGGCGGTTAAGTGCTAAAAAGTTGGGATCCGTCAGGGTCGCAGCGCCGCGGCGGGGAGGGTGTTGTCAGCCCCACTCTTTCTTCCCGCCCCTGATTTGATCTCCACGTCCCGCTACAGTTTCAGATGAGGACCAGTCACGGATACAACCCTAACCCTCACGGTCAAAGGAGATGGTGCGCTAACAATTACTGCAATGGTTCTGGGGACAATGCGTTAGGACTGTAGCTACTAGGCGGTGCGCTAGCATTCCCATCCCGCAAACAAGGGAAGATGACGACAACAGTTCCGGCCTCCACGTAGCAACAACATCCAGGCCAAAACAGAAAACACATGGTCATTCTTCCTTCTTCTTGTCCTTGCCATTATCTCCCGGCGGTGGGCCATACTGTGCTGGCGCAGTGGTCTCGTAGCACTCCCACTGCTCAGGCAAGTCCATGACCGCGGATCGAGTGTAGATGTGCCTGGGCTTCATCTCCTTCCAATCCAGCCCAGAATCGATAACTCCGCCCTTGATAGAGACGGCAGGGCGCATGCTGCCATCGGGGAGCACGCCAGCATGGAGAATGCGAACTCCGCACTTGGGGCAGAAGTAGCAGTGCATCGTGTTGCCGCTGTCGGCTGGATGGGTGAAGACGGAGAGCTTCGACTCGAGATCGGCCGGTAGAGGAAACATCTCGCTGGCAGGAAAGTAAACCGAGGTACCAAAGAATGAGGCTGACTGTTTTCGACAAGACGTGCAATGGCAGCATGCCATTCCGAGCGGCTTCGACGATGGCGTCTGGAACTTGATGTATCCGCATTCGCAGCTGACGGGGAGTCCCTTGTCCGTGTCTGCCATGGCTGAAGATATGAGATGATCTCGCAGTGGTTGGCGTTTGGGTTATGGTTGATCCAAGTGTGATGAGGAATCGACAGCTGCTTGGAGGTTTGAGGAGGACAAAGTTCCAAGACACAGAGAGTGGGGAGAAAACGGATATTTACCTCCACGTCCCTCCTCCGATGACGGCCTTGAAGATCACCCATCTAGTCACATCCATCAATGGCTTGTCATAAACACCATGTTAAACTGCCAAGTTACCGAAACATCTCCTACTAGCCAAGTACGTACCACGAAAGAGTCGCGTCTGAAGCGGCGCAGGTTACAACGTTACCCCACACCTGTCAGCCTGAAGAGTCCTTTCTCCCCCGACATCCCATCCTCCTTTTGCTTCTTATGAAGGAACCTCTTAACTCGCCATCTACATCCTGTCTCGTCATCGACATCTGTTCCACGGTTCGAAATGTTGGTGGACACCACTCCGCAAGCAGCAAACCTCACTCTTGAGGAACTACAACTGACCGAGAGCAACGACGCGGCTGTCTTCCCCCATGGAAAGGATGGGGCTGATCAGCCGGATCTCACACCGCGAACGCTTATGTCTCTGCCTCAAGAACTCCGAGACATGATTTGGGCCCAAGTTCTCGATCCGATTCCCGAAACGACTTTGCCGCCTTCCACGCGCACACCCCTTCCCCCCATGATTTTGACTAGCCGACCCCCGGCTCTCGCCCATGTTTGTCGAGATTCGCGCGCCTTCGCCCAAGAACGATACAAAGCAGCCCATGGCTCTCGCAAGACCACATCCACCTCAAGCAAGTTGGAGGCTGAGAGCCGCCGAGGATTGGAATGGGTCTCTCGATCGACTATAGGGGTCTTGCACACATGCGACGCGTATACCACTTTGATGGGCTTAGAGGGCCGTTTTGTTATAGTTCATGATCCAGCCTACATCATCTCTGCCGAAGCCAAGGATCAACTCGCTCAGTTCCTCTCCGGAGTCCAAGATTTCCAGATCATGATGTGCATGGGTTACGAGGCGGCTGTGTGAATACCTTACCGCGCTGCACAGACGTTCAAGTTGCCATGGGGCTGGGCGTTGGGTACTGGACGTAACTCCAGTCAGTTCGTCGATATCCGGGACCTAGCTGTCTTGCGAGAGTTGATCCGTGAGCTGGAAGGCTTGGTGTGGGTGGGAGAAGAGGATGTGTGCGGAATTACACGGCTGCGCGACCTGGTGGGAAACGCCAATAAACGGGAAGAGTTTTGTGCGTTGTCCTTGGAACGGTTCAAAGCATTTTGGAATGCGCTCAACACCGGCACGGATAGTAACGGTGAGGTCCGGTTGAAGAGACGCATGCCCAAAATCGGAACAGTTCTTCAGTTTCTCATCATGGATGAGCCGGGGCCGGGGCCGGGGGTTTAGACATCAAAAAAGCGCTTCTAACCCTGACGAGTAGCTGGAGATCGGATGACCTAGAGGACATCCAGCCCTTCTCAGCAAAGGTTCACATTACCTCCTTCCCCACTGTCACCGGAATAAAGGTTCCATTTTCAATGGTTGAGCTGTTTTGTTCCTTCATTCACAACCACTATCAGTGACTACCTACCTCTGAGAAATTTTTGTGGTGTTTGAAGCACGTGTGCAGACCGCCTGCTCTTGCCCTGCAGGCCAGCCTTGCTCCCTTTGCTCTTGCCCTGGCCCTAGAAAGGTGCATTAGGGCAATAACGTTGGAGGGTTATAACTTCTGGTTGTTCTTCGCACTCTACTTCCTACTTTTTTCCCCTCAGTCATCTTGCCACACTTTTGCCATCAGAACCATCTATCCTGCCAGCCATTCACTGGCCACCACATGAACCTTCCTCTTTCTGTAGCCCTCTACACCTTCTGTTCCTGATATCACCAGCATTACAGCTGTCGATCTTTCCTCGTTCAGCTGTACAACTCAACCTACATCATCGCCACTCCCATTATTTCAGGTTTCGTGATCCATCCATCTCACACTGCCATCATGTCACAAGTGGAAGTCAATAAGAAGAGCGGGACGACCGATGACGGCAATGGCGATTGTCACGGCGCATCGACTCATATGCTTCTCTCGCCAGAAGCTGCTGAATCAGATGCCCCAACTTGCAACGGCAACATCACCTTGAACCAACCCGCCCGGAAGAAGACTTTCTCGGACCTGCCTCAGGAGCTTCGAGATATGATCTGGAAGGAAGTCTTGCTCGATGAAGACGATCTCAACATCTACAGCAGATGTCACGTCGATGTTCGAGCCCACGGTTTGTTTGCCTTTATGTATGCACCACAGCACCGGCCCCGAAAGAAACTTCCACCGGATCCTGGCCTCGTCCTCCTGTCAACGCGGCCCCCAGCTCTCGCCCATCTGTGTCACGACGCACGTGAAGCTGCCTTGAAACATCACGAGCGGGACCCTGTACGTAACGGTTCACCAGCTTTGCGGGGGGAGCTCGACAGCCCGTCTTGGTTATCCAGATCAGCCCTACTTCTCGCTAAATGTCACCAAGACCCCGGCGAGAAAAAAGGCTTGTCCCCTGACGACATCAGATGTGATCCTTTTAAGAGCCAATCCCTGCTCTTGCATATGGGGCCCCACGCGTGGGATCACAAGCAATTCGGGAGAGATCCCCGTCTTGTTCGGGCCTATGAGATCTTGCGAAATGCCAGAGACGACCAGGTAATGGTCAGAATTCCATGGCTAAGGGTTTCTGCTTACCTCAGTTGGCCGCAACTGTCTCGATGCAAATTTCTCTTTGATCAAGGTCCAGATTGCATTCACAAACTACCTGATGGAGACCTCCACGATGCATATTACCAAAATGTATATGTGGAGGCTCATGATTCTGACATGTTACGCTGCATCATTCAGGCCGCTGATCGGGGTTTCGAGGTTCATAACATGAAGGACTCTGTGGATCTATCAGAGTCTCTAACCGATAAAGCTTTTACTGCAGAAGTGGCTAAAAATGCTTTGGCGTTTCTTCAGGACCTCTGGGTTGAGGAGAGCCGGAAAGCGTCGAGGGAAGAGGAAGTTATGCCTAAAGTCAAACTTGTCATCGATTTTGCAATCATTGTTAGCTAAGGAGATGTCGACCTTTGACTTTGGGTTGCTCTCTCCAATCACACAACACCTGTTTCCTAAGCGACGGAAAACGGTGGCTTCCAGCAAAGAGGGAAACAACGAGATGGATCAGCGTGCAAACCACCACCCAGGACAAGAGGAAGGCAACACCTGATACAAGTCGCTGGGACTCAAGTTAAAAGCCCAGATCAGTGCTAAACCACTGGACACTTCGCAATCAAAATAACTCAGGCACCAAAACATCACCAAGATATTAACGACTATCAGCATTATGGATAGTCTTCTGGATCGACAAGAACCTGACTTCATTTTGCTATCACGATACACCACCGAGTCTTCCCAGACATGCCCGAGAACGTCTAGAGACACGCCAACCAAGCAGACCTCGCTACCGCCATCACCAGCGTCCGAAAATCTGTCAAAGCAAGCTTCGCGATGTGCTCTTGGCCGAGAAGATACTACGGCGGAATCTCGAGTGCTCGTCCCTCGACGCGGCACATCAAACATCCCCGCAAAAATTCCACGAGCGGTGGACACCAAGCCACAGAAAACCGTCACCGTAACCCTGTACGCAGCAAACCACAGGCCATACGAAGTCCCCATCAAATTCTACCATCAACAAACCACCAAGCGGTCTCGTCACGAACAGATCTTCACCGGCCAAATGCAAGGAGGACCCGAACTCCTCTCGTGGCTTGACGTCGTTCGCCCCAAGCTCTTCACCCAAATCCCCAGCTTCGTTTTCCCACCGGGGGATTCCTTTCTCACCCCGAAAGAAACAGTCAACCTCATCGGCGGCCTCACCGATCAACGCGATGCCGATACACACAGACTCTCACAGCTGACAGCCAAGTTCCTCCGCGAGTACTTTGCCAACATGAGCATGGAGAATCGCCCGCTGTTGTACGGCCAAGCTCAAACAGACGACCAACAATTGGCCTTTCACAAAGGCCTCCATGACATCTTCTTCTCTATCCAAGTCCACCGGAGAAAGCAGAACAAGAACATCGTTGGCGACCCACTGAAGGGACCACACCCGCTAGTGGCTAGAGCGGCGAAGGAGAAGTATATCCAGGGAGCGTGTTTTTACATTCATCCATGTGTGATGAAGAAGGTTGTTCAACATGTTGTTGAGGCGCGCAGGGCCTTTCTTCTCAAGAAGCAGGGTCAGGGTCAGTGTCAGGCTCAACCACACGTCCAACCTCAAACGAACCGGTTTGGTTCAATTCGCATGATGAAAAGCTGCGCCTCATTGAAAGCAAACAAGATGAACAACAACAACAGCAGCATTCGCAGAATGAAAAGTCACGCCTCCCTCAAAGGCACCGAGCTCACCAACATGAGCAGCAACAATATCATCATTCCTATGGTTCCAATCCCAACAGAAGACTGGGGCCGCCGTGATCCCCAGGCCTGGCTAGTCGGATGGGACTTGGAGATGGAGAGCTTGGCTTACATGCATCGGAGCAGCGATTTTCCTCGCCTGGGAAAGATGCACGAACGCCAGCTTGTTTATTACCAGTTTGCCAGGAGTGTTGATGAGTGGATGTGGCGGTTGGAGCAGGCTGAGAAGAACGTCAACTATAAACAGCCTGAGAAGAACGCCGACTGTGGACAGCTTAAGCCAAAGAGTCCTTGTGAGGATACGGAGGAGTTGTTGATTGAGCTTTGATCAGGCTCGCGTCGGTGATTTGTTTGTTGGGATTGAGTGATGGCTGCTGGGTAATAAGTTATGGAATAAGCGTGGTCGGATTGGCTTGGGTTTGGTGATATCGTTATGTGTATTGCTTTCGCGATGTCTGGTTTCTTGAAGGTTATCTGGGGGTGGAGGTCGTCCGAGGAGGTTCACACTGTGTTTTGACGAGTCGGTTTTGCACGTCCATTTTTTGGCCGGAGTAGTTGATCAATGATATGATTGTAGAGAGCATAATAAAAACACTTTTATCAAAGCTTCATTTTAACAGTTGAACATCATACCAATGTATACTGTTGGAGTGTCCCTCATCTTCAACATCGTGTTGGAGGAACATTTATGCCAAGACAGAGCGGAGAAGCTAAGGGAAAGCGATCTCCCCGCCGTCTTACAAATCGCGATCCGTTAGTGACCCACATCGCGAAGAGGACACCACATTCATCAGCTGGTTACATCATCAATTCTTACAACACTGGAAGAACATAAACTCCTCCACTTCACTTCACATCACAACATTCGTCTATAAAGAAGACAAAGCCCAAATCTCGAACACAGATCACTCAAAACCCCACTGTCCAGTTTATCTCACCCGTTTTTGAAGCACAAACAACTTCATTCACCATGGTTACTTTTACTCAAACAAAGGAAGTCCAGCAGTGGCACACCCTCGAAGATGGCTTCGATAACCTCACCCGTGGTACCGCGCCCATGCCTACTCCCGGCCAGGACGAGGTGTTGGTAGAGATCAAGGCTGTGTCGCTTAATTACCGTGATACGGAGGGTATGTACCTCTACCTACCTACCTTACCCTTCCCCCCGCCCTCCTCTCTCTTCTTCAAGCCCCATCCATACGAACCTCACTAACATCCACAACCCCGCAGTAACAAACGGCGAATACAACCACCACAAAACCCTTTCCAAGCGTTCCACGCCCCTCGTCCCCTGCTCCGACGCCCTGGGCGTCATCGTCGCTCTCGGCCCCAACGCCGACTCCACCTGGTCCGTAGGCGACCGCGTCCTCTCCACCTTCAGCCAATCCCACCTCACCGGGCAAATCACCGCGCAGGACCTGGCCTCGGGGCTCGGCAAGCCTCTCGACGGCGTGTTGCAGACCTACCGCGTTTTCCCATCCACGGGCCTCGTCCGGGTCCCGGAGTACTTGACAGACGAAGAGGCGAGTTGCCTACCCATCGCTGCCGTAACAGCTTGGATGGCGATTTTCGGCATGGAGCCCCCCTTTGGCACCTGGGCCGCCAAAGAAGAAGAAGGGAAGCAGCAGCCGTTGAAGGGAAAGACGGTGGTGCTTGAGGGTACAGGTGGTGTGGCTGTCGCGGGGTTGCAGATTGCTAAAGCGGCCGGGGCGAGGACGATTATCACTAGCTCGAGCGATGAGAAACTGCGCAGGGCTAAGGAGGAGTTGGGTGCAGATTATGTGGTTAATTACAAGACTACTCCCGGTTGGGAGGAGAAGGTTATGGAGATTACGGAGGGCAATGGGGCGGATATTATTTTGGAGACGGGTGGGGCGGGGACGTTGTATAAGGCGCTGGATTGTATTGCGTTTGGTGGGCTGATTTCTTGCATTGGGTATACGTCGGGTAAGGAGGATAAGGAGGGTGAGGGGGGCAGCAGGATGAATATGAACTTGTTGGTGTTGAGGAGGAATGTGACGCTCAAGGGCATCATTAATGGTCCGAGGGATCGGTTCGAGGAGATGTGCGAGTTTTATGAGAGGCATCAGATTAGGCCGGTGGTGGATAGGGTATTTGGGTTTGAGGAGGGCAAGGAGGCGATCAAGTACTTGAGGAGCGGAAGTCACTTTGGGAAGGTGGTTGTTAAGGTCCAGTAGGAAAGGTCGATTAAGAGTCGGAATATTTTGGCGTAGTTTGGAGCTGAATGATCCAACACCGATCGCCAGGATTGTAACAGTCTCCGCAAGTCACTAGTTGTTGGTGAGCTCATATTGGTGATCTGCGATGACCTGTCCAGACGGTAGGTTGATATAGCTGGAATTGACTGTCTGGCGTGGGCAGTAGACTGCGCTCATAGTATCCCACATGTTTCTTCGTTTGATCGTTTCTTGTAGTCTCTGTGTTTAGCTCAGCCAGTCAGAGCCCTCATCAGCCACGACTTCCCGTCTTTATCTTTTGACCCGGTCGTATTCTTCTGGTTATCCTCACTGCGCACAACGATTTCCTCTCGGAGCTCTATGACATACGTGGTGCAACCATCTCCCACGTCCTCGACAAGTTTAGCTGTAACAAACGTGGAGTCGTTTAGCCACGTTGCGGCAAGCCTATCCTTCTTTTGACCTCGAAAAATCCCATATTGAGCTACACTGCCTACTATAATTGACCTGTCAACATGTGACAAGTTAACAGGAGTCTTTAGACATTCAGCACGGGTCAAGACATGCTGCGATGGAGACCAGGGAAAGGTGGTGTTTTTGTCCACAAAACACAGCCAGCTGCGTCCTTCATCCGTGACTCCGAACGCAAGAACGACCGAGAAGGAATTGGGCCTCGGATCCAGTTTCAATACATGACAGCCAGCGAAAGGCGGAGAACCGACTTGAAGAAAGGCCGCATGATCGTGGTGCCATAAATGTTCAGGATAGGTGCCGCAATGTTGATAGCCGAATCTTAATTGAAAAAGGCCATTAAACGTGAGTGACCTATCCAAAGCTGATGTGAATGCAATATACGACATCTCGGAGTTTATCTCCTCAGTGAGGTATTGAGACTGCTTGCGGACCCACGTGAAACTCTTTCGGGTTGTAAGGACAACCTGCCGTGGTCGAGCTCTCGCATATGAGTCCCTACCAATGGCCGTCAAGTAGATGCACTCCCACTCATCCGTATAGGAATCAGCACAGTACAGGGCCATTAAGTAAACGTTGGGGCCGGCAGCCGCAAGCTCGAGGTCAATACGGAGGCCTTTGTTCGTTAGAGAGTACTCGGGGCCGTTCCTGAGAGTCACACCATTCTTGATGGTTGCTGCACATTTGAACTCATCAGGCGAGATGGCCAGCATACCGCGCCAACGTAAATCTTCCCAGGTCCGCCAGTAAAAGATGCTGACATCATTGCTTCGCCGTATGATTTCTTCTTGTAATCTTGTGAAAGCCTTCGGGCCCTCTCCATATATCAGAGGCATATTGATGTCAAAGATTCCCAGAAGAGAGTAGGCCCTGTCTTCGATGCGTGTCGTTTGCCGGTCAGCCGCCCAGCTCATCCTTTTGCCAACCGCAATTGTATGTATTTTGGAAGGATCTAACAAGATGCCAATATCGATGCGAGTAATCTTGCTGAGTAGGCTTGCCAAATCCTCTTTCGTCCCCCTTGCCTTCCAGTCCTGGTCGTAGAACATGAGTCTGGTGGGAGCGATGAGTTCTTGAAGCGTCCATCCGCGTTTGAACCAGCGGGATGCGTACATTGCCTGGTCAAGTTCGTCTGCTTGGAGATCGGAGAGGTAGACCAAGCAAATCTGTGACGAGCGATACCATTGGAACATGGAGTTGATGGCCTCTGTGAGCTCCGCACTACTGGACTTGTCGATACAACACGTATCGACCCAGGCATAGGCCAATCCATGCTCGGCCGCAACTTGGCATGCTTTTGCTACCTTGCGGGCGCCTTGAGATGTCTGTTTCTCCAGTAGCTTTGCTTTGGCATCGTGAAATGTGACTTCTCCATTCTCCCATGTGTGCGAAAGAATGGCATACTTGGGTATGTCGGTGCCGACGAACTCCTCGAGCTCAAGGGTGCGTGTGTTGATCAACCACATGGTGATTGATGGGTAAGATTTGAAGTGGGAAGAAACGCCAGTTAGCTCTCCGTTGAGATGGAAACCGAAAATCTGAAGAACGGGAGAAGGGCTGTGAGTAAATGCATGGAAACTTGGATGTTTTAGGGGCTCGTTGGGAGAATAAGATCTGTACCTTATCTAATCCCGCGACAGCTGTGACTTTTATAGGCGAGGGTACCAAAGGCAGGGGCAGGCAGCCGCTAGTCAAAGCCTGCGGCAGGCACATTTCATATAGATAAAGACTGCACGGCAGGCAGCTAACCTGCTCTGGTGGAGAACTCATCATCGTTTGCGTTGGGCGTCTGCAACTTCCACGACATTCACCGCGAAGAACATAAACACAGAAGTCACAACCAGTGAACAAATTCTCGGGGTATCATTAACCAAGATCTGCAATGCAGACATACACCTTCCTCCGCTAAATCAAACAAGATATCTGAACCCAATCTGTGGCTTCAAATCCGCACCTTCGCTCTTCAATCCCTCCACTCTCGCAGTTTGGTTTGCCACATCGTCGTGCACCTCCCATGCACTTTCCTCCCCAAGCGCAAGCTTCTTATTCTGGTTGACAAGCACCATGCGGATCACCCAGCAGCCGACAATGGTGACGCCGAACATGGCAGTCACGATGCCGTAGCTGTTGCGGTAACCGTTCGCCTTCAGGTCCCAGACGTATGATCCCGCGACGTTGCCAAGCTGGCTGAAAGCGTTGATCATGGCCAGAGCGACGGCACGCTTGGCAGGCGGGCGGGGGAACGAAGAGCTGATCCACGAGTAGAAGACAATGAAGCCAGCGTACGATCCAGCTTGCAAGAAGAGCGCAACGTATCTCGCGGCCTTGTTCAGGGTGGCCATGCTGATGATGAATCCGACCAGACCCATGCAGATGGGGCCGACAATGTGGCCGAACTTCTCTTGCTTGCGATCAGAGTGCCAGGCGTTGATGAGCGAGAAGATACAGGCAAAGACCCAGGGAGGGGCGCTGAGAAGAAGAGTGGGAACATATGCCAGGCCAAGGGTGCCCGTAAGCGTAGGCTGTTATGTTGTTAGCGATGGGCTGATGCATATACACAGGATATAATCAAGACTTACGAAGAAGGCGTTGAAACTCAAACCGGTGGTATACGCGGTGAAGGTCAGCATCATCAGGTAGACCTTCCAGTCCTTGACTACCATGATCAAGCCGTCAAAGATGCCCATATCAGCCGAGTCGCTATCGGCTTCACCGACATCTTCAGTCATGCGCAACTGGGCGACCAAGAGTTCCTCCTCGGTGAATCCGCGGCTGTTGGTCGGCAAGTCGGGAAGGATGAAAGCCGCGCAGACGGCGACGAACATGGTGGCGGCACCTTCGATATAGAACAGCCACCTCCAGGCCCTGTGACCCAGCACGCCGTCCATGTTGGACAAGACGCCAGCACCGACGAGAGAAGAGAAGGCGTTCGAGATGAGGTTGCCGCAGAAGAGAATGGCGTTGCGCTTGGTCAGTTCACGACGGGTATACCACTTGCTGAGAATCAAGAGCGCTCCGGGCAGGAAAGCGGCTTCGACGAAACCCAGCAGGAAACGGATGGCAACCATGCCACCAAAGCCCTTGGCCATACCGGTCAACGTCGAGATGAGACCCCAGATGGTCATGACTCCCGAGATGTAAAGCGATGGCCGGGGAATTCGGTTGATGAACATGTTGGAAGGGATCTGCATGAGGATGTATCCGACGTAAAGAATGGAGAGACATGTCGCGTATTGGGTGTCGCTCAATTTGAGATCCTCTTGAAGACCCTTGAGACGGGCAGCACCAATGTTGTTTCGGTCGAGGTAGTTCCTACCAAGTTGTAAGTACGGGTCACTGTCACTGGAAGCCGAGCTACTTACAAGATATAGATAACAACAAAGTAGGAGCACCGAGCATCAAGCTTGCGAAGGAGAGACTTTTCGATGCGGACACGCTCCTCGGGAGCCATAGCGCGGACATTGAGGTTGCCCGTGTTTGGCTGCTCATTCTGTGTATAGTACTCGGACGATTCGACCGCCGGCTTCTCGATCCCCGAGAGGGAATCACGGCCCTCGTGCCTTAGGCTGGCCATGCTGTGTAGAGATGTGGATAGGCAGGATGAAACAGAAACACCACGGACCCAGGCCAGACGAAGCAGGAACAGGATGAGGAGAAAGGGTTATATAGCGCATTAAGTAGAGCACCAAGTTGATGGTTACATGTCGGGCATCCATCAAAAAGGCTGGGATGACGTCCCACTTTTTCTACCCCATCATTCCCCCAATGTTTCCCCCATATCTTCCCCTCAAATCCACAGACCGCCGTTCGTGAGTGTTGTGGGTTGTTCCCCGCATCGCAAGGAACTGCAACGTTGAAGTCTGGGATGGCCGGTGGAACCTGGCAGCATGGCGAGCTTCGATGCCTGCAAGTCACACAAGTTCCATTCCCCAACCTTTCCGAGAGGCGAGCAGAGATTTTCAGTCTTTTCCTGCAGGCCTGACACTGTCAATTGTACATACGTGGTACCTATAGCATTGAGAAAATGGCCAACCAGTCGCGGCCAGAACATGGACTATTCAAAATCTGGAAGAACCCTTTTTACTCGTGGTTGGCCTTAATGTTGTAATTGGGGTTCTTCATTGGGGAAATTCTCACATTTTAGGCGATACCAAGAAAAAGTCAAGACGGGAACGAACGCCTCTTTGACAGCGCGAGCGCCCCTGACGGCGACGACAACTTGACAAGCTGCACTAACAATTAACAAAAACCCTTCTGGCGCCCGACTCTGCAGTAGCCCGCTTTCTTTTCGGCGGCTTGGCAGCGACCTGCATGCCCCACACGGCATTCTGCTGCTTTGGGAATTGGGAGCGACATCAACGCGAACTTTGAGAAAACTTGGACGACAGGAACGACTTGCCGCTGCTGGTGCCGCTTGCCCGACGACATTCTAGGTCCCGAATCCTGACAACTTAGTTCTGGCCATCAGTTTCCTTCCACGGCAACTACTAACTTGTTTGACTTGGACGATTCCAGTAGGCGCCCCGACAACCCGACAACCCGACAACCCCTATCGCTCAGAATTTTCCTCTTCCCTTGCGCCAGAAAATCTTGACCAGGTCTCGACTCTTCAACCGACCCCAACGTGTGTGTGAACGACTAGCGCGGCATTTACATCTCATCCCGTCTTGTCTTGGACGTTCGTCCCATCCTCTCTCTGTCGTCGGAGAAGCTCTCCGCATCGCGTGGTGCTGGACGATCAGGTGTAAGCTTGCTTGATAACGTGGCCATCACGGTTGCAGTTCCTGCCGTGCAACCATTCTTTCGTTTGTACAGATATGTATGCGCGCAAGTAAGATCGGGATGTACCTTTCAGTCTGATTATAATTCTCAACATTCCCCACTTCGATGCCAGCAGTTTACGGTGCACGGTTTGCTGTACCTACCTAGGTATGTACCAACCCCATGCACACGTTCTGGCAAACCGACATCCTGGGGGGCGCACGTGCCGTCCAGATCCCGCTTCCCCGAACGAGCCTCAAGCTTGGCTGGTCTTGTCCCGTTTGTCTTGGCATCTGCCCCGTCAAACAACACCAACTTCCAGCACTTGACGATGTTTGGAGACCCATTCTGCTACCCACGAGGACGGTTTACTCGATATTCTCCGCGTCTCCCCCAAAACCCAAATTACAATCGCATGGCCTAGCGCACAGATAAAGTTGCATACACGATCTGGATCACACTTCAACTCTGGGGGACCGGTCCCTGATGATCCCCTTTGACTGCTACCGTATAAGGCGACCACTGCCGCTTCATTCTCAGAAACGAGACAAATTCTGTCTCTAGCCGCAACCTCGGCCAATTTGGCTGTACAGGACATACACCTTAAATACTCCCATCCCCCAACTAGGTCGAACACATCAGACAAACTCCCTCGGTCCGGGACTCACGACTCACCGCCTGTAAACATCGCCAACACCTGTCTCGAAAAGCCTCACCACTCTACACTGGCTATCACTTACACCGTCCACCGCTCTACGGGTACGTACTGGTCTCGGAACTCGCCAAAACCTCGGGCCGGCACACAAGACCTAGTCCTGGTCCAGCCAGTCTCGCTCTCCTGGCCCTGTATGCTAGAGTTTACACCTCTCCAGCTGAATTCTGGTTGTCTGTCAAAAGACGACCATGAAAAAGTTTGACCCAAATCGGCAACTTTTTTCTTGAACCGCTCCACAGTGGGACGCAGGTTGGCACGTCGTGGTCGTGGTCGTCGACGACCACCCCGGAATTCCAGCGCTTGCTTTTACGTTACGTGGGGGTCATGTGGAGCATCCTATGGAGAAATTTCCCCCAGTCCACCCCCAATCCCCAGTTCTCCCCCCGCAGTTCCCCATGGAGAGAGCCGCAAACCGGGAACGATTATCCAGAATAGACTTTTGCACGTACCGCAAAAAATGCCCAAGTCCCGGTTACTTTTGCCAGCTTTTCTTCCAACCGCTGCATCAACCTCACCACAACCCGATACAAAGCTAACCCGCGCAAAAAGCCCCCTTTTGGGCGCGCTGAGTTTAAAAACCGGCTGGGGATCCGGGCAAACCGTGGAGTCCGTGGAGTCCGTGGGGGTTGGGGATGACAATTTTGTATCCACCTCCCCCGACTCACTCCACCACTAACCACCCGTACCACCACGCCTTTTTCCATCACAACTCCACTAACCAGCTAACATCCCCCGGTCCCCCAGACAAAAAAAGCCTGGAACAACTGGAACCGCCCAGTGACAAGTCAGGGCCCGATGAAATTCTGTAACGTCAAGTGACTTGATGGGCGGGCCGATGGAGCCATCTTGTTGGGTTGGGTCCGGGTCGGGTCCGAATTAATGGGCTCTCCATTACGGGAGGGCTCGTTCGCTTTCGAAAGCCGATGTCACCCGTTATCGCCCGACCGCGAGATGGCTTTTCACCTTTCACAGAAGTATAGTTGTACGAAGCTGATGATGCCTTCCCAAGCTCGTCAATGACAAAAAAAGCTGATACCTTGCACCCCCGTCCGTCACTTATGCCTGAAAGTCCTTCCGATTTTTTTTTTGTCATGGATGAGCCAGCAGATTCTTTGTGGATGTGAATGAACATAGTAACATGGCACACGCAGACAGACAGTTGAGCAAACTGCAACGGGCTTTTTTTTTTCTGTTGTCCCCCTTCCTGTTTGTTTACATGCAAGTTTTCCGTTAGTTCAGGGGCTAGTGGAGCGGACGAGATCTTGCGAGTTGGACTTGGTTTTGCCTAGGGCAACTTTTCGCTGCCTACGCTCTCGGCACTTTTTTTGAAAATTGTTGAAAAGAGAAAAAAGAAGAAGAAGAAGAAGAAAAGTTTGAAGAGCCGAGAATTCATCTTCTCTTGTGTGGTTGACTACTTTTCGATAAATGTGGGAAAGCGGTAAAAATTAGGAGTCGCCTCACTCCCGGGATACCTACCAGATGAACTTCGCCATGTCTCCCGAGTCACTCATTTCAAGTCCAGTCCATCAGGAGCGTGGTCCCCTCTTGTCTTCAGCTTCACATTCCATACATACTTCACCGCCGTTTGTTGGAGCAACCTTTCATAGGTACTCTTGAGCTGTTCACCTCCAGCTCCACTCACTGTCAAACCTGGATTTCTTTCTTGCTTTTTTTTCCCCGTTGAATCATTTTTTTCCCATTTTTATTTCTTTTCCTATTCGTGGTTAGAGGTCAATCCTCAAATGATAAAGACTTACAGCAATGAAGCCATCGACATTCTGTAATTGTTGTCATCTTTTCCACCCGCCCTCTGCTACAACATTCTAAACTCATAGCATCATCATCATCTACACCTCCCGTTTTCTTGTTCAAAACCTCCCGATTTTGGGCCAGTTTGATAACACATATTGGGGCATTTCGGATTTCGGAACATGCCACCGCGGCGGCTTCCCTCATTGCATAACAATGACTGAATGGATAGGGAAACATTCGCTCTCTATGCGAAGAATAGGCGGTGTAGCCGCTGCCTTTTGTGCTCGAAAAGAACACATAGTTAGGTAAAACGCATATTTGATCCAACAATGCATGATGTGTGCATATATTTCAGGCAAGCTACCTACCTAATTACCCCTTTCCCAGACCTCATGCTCTAATATTCCTTCGACGTGAGCCCGCTGGTGCCCTGGTCGAGCCTGAGAAGAGGGTGAGCAGCACTCAAGCTGCTCGTGACTGTTGTTGTCTCTTGCTGTAACTATAAATTCCTTTTCTCTCTAGGTTGTGCTAGATAGCAGGTTGGTTTATCTTCTTCGATGCTGAGTGATTGCTCCTTTGTTCTTCCGGGTAGTGGGTGAAAATGACTTCGGCAGGAAATGGCCGATGACTGATGACTGCTGAGCGATGACCGATGGTGGAGGGGTTTTTTTCCTTTTGTTCTCCTTCCTTTTCGTTCGGTTTACTTCTTGTCTTCTTATTTCATTCCCCGTATTCAATTCAATTTCATGGTTCATTTTCCTCTAATTGCTTGAACTAAGCGTCGTGTATATCACAGGCCTACCTCCAAGGTGTACCCCTTCATGTTCCCATATCCGTTCATACACAACTATATAGGTGTCTGCAACGTCCTAATCATCATCAATGTCCTCTTCCTGTGACTCTCCCTCCTGTGTATCCTCCTCCTCCTCCCCCGGCATCATCCACCTTTGCTCCCGTATCTCTACCCGCATCCTTTCGCTCGCAGTAAACCACCAGTCAATCGTGCCTTCCATAGGGTAGCAAACACTCTCCTTGACTATCGGGAAACGGGTACACTTGCCGAGGCGGGGATTTGTGTGGACTGGATGTACGCCTTTCTCGATGTCGGCCTCTGTCAAGAAGCGAATTCTCTGGCTGATGGAACTTCCATCACGCTTTGGCCACTCCAGACATATCAGCTTAGGATGGATAATAGTCTCGCCTGCAATACTGGCTCGGTCGTTGATAAGTCGAACCTCCCCGACCACCCTCGAGCCTCCGTTCTCATAGTGAAAGATGATGCCTGAGCAGAAGGGCTCTCCTCCACGGGGAACGAATCTCCTACTGTAGAACATCTGGGCAGAAATAACCCCCTCGAGCGGCGCAGAAGTGTAGAAGCGGAGATCTTCCTGGTTGTCCCTGCTAAAAAGATTATTTTGAGGCCAATTATGAGGAATCGACCGCCCCTGCAATCTTGGTTTCCATCCAGGTACCCAATTCTGGGGCGGATCATAGCGATAGCCTCCTAACAGGTCTAGCTGGTTTCGCTTACCCTGGAAGCCATATAGCAGCGCCTGAGGCTCTCTCGCACCCCAGTGAAAATGACGAGGATCGAAATATTCTTCATCGCCCTCCGTGGGTCCCGCCAGAAACTCAAATTCTGTATCATCAGGTGACATTACCGAAATTTCTTGACCTGTAATGGGGTTGGGGCATGGCAAACCGATGACGGTATCCCCAGACAGGCGCTTCTTGACCTAGGAAGGGACAGGGAAAGTCAGAAGACAGGAAACAAGACAAAGAGAGATAGGATGTGTGACTCATTCAAGGTAAATGGGACGTAGAAAAGGAATGACGACGAGGGGAAGGACACCGACGATTAGCACCGGGGAAGAAGAAACTTACAACTATCACCAACGCTCTTGGGTAGCATCCAATACCAATGGCCATAATCTTGTCTTCTTTAGTAACTGGAAGGAAGAAGCAGGCTTGGTGTTGACCGTAACGGGAACCGACAGGAATGCCGAAGTTGTTGATCGCGTCGCCACAATGCGAGTGAATTGCCGTGAGCTCTTTGCCCTCATATACGAAGGTGAGGCCGGATATAGAGTCGAGATTGATCAAGTGCCCCGCCTCAAAGGAGCCACCATACCCCCCTCCAAAAAACGGAAAATAGAATTTGTCCGCATTGTACTCAATGTTATGCAGGTCCGGAGGTGTAGGCGTGTCCCAGATCATCGGTGGGATGCTGTGTGCAAGTGCACGGCTGGTGTCACCCCAGCTGAATCGAAGGAGACCGCCTTGACAGTACGCCATTTTGTCTCGGATTTCGACACCGTCTATTTCCAATATAACCCAGGCAAATCTTTCATCTGTCTTTAGTTGCTTTTCGCAGTTGGGCCATCGTGGAAGCCGTTCAATCTTGCGGACTCCATCTATGTCGAAGGTGATACGGAGGACATCGGTTGTGCGGCCTTCGGGTCCCGAAGTTTGTATTGTGCCCCCTCTTTCCCAGTGGGATACCTTGGTCAGTTCGACACGTTGCTCATCAATGACTGGGAAGTTGGACAGGGACAAAGCCACTGTCAGGGCGGTGACAGCCCTCCAAAACACGGGTTCTCCTGGGGAGTATGACCGAATCCGCTCGACCAATTCCGTGGGAAAGTTGGTCAACTGGCGAATGTTGTAGATTGAAGCAACCTTTCTCACCGCTTCTACGCACAGGACATGATATGCGCCGGTAAGTGAGATGGACGGCAGGTCTTGGTAACCGAGGGGCCACGGGCGTCTGGCAATGGCCACCTTCCATAGTCGTTCGCATGCCAGGCGTGGGGGAAGCGGGCAGGACTGGATGAACATGGAAAAGCAGTCATGATGGGTGGTAACGGCCTCGTATGGGTTGTTGAAAGCGTGGCTTGAGTGTTTCCAGTTGGAAAGGCACTCTTTCCATGGGGTAGAATCAGTGCACAGGTAGCAGAAATGAAAGGACTTCTTGCGGTCGAGGTATGCGTCTATGCCGTCTGGAGAGGGGAGGTAAGTGCCGTAGATTGGAAAGGGAAACTTGATGGTACGGCCAAGGTAGGTCATGCGTCCTCGTTTTCCAATCACTGATCATCTTCTGTCAGTTAAGGTATACCGAGAATTTGGTGGGGGAAGGGAGCATACAAGCAGTGACGAAGACGTCTCGATCGATTTTCTCATTGCATATTCCGCAGTGAGCATCAAGCGGAATGACAGGCACTTGGGCAGACGGCGAAGTCACAGCGTGACGAGTCTGGGTTTCATGGTCGGTATCCACGATGCTAGCTGTTATCAAAAAGAAGGCGAAGCATGGGGGAAATTGTCTTGTTGGATGCTTGTCTGGGGAAAAGAATCGAGGAGAGGGAATGCCCCGCCTGGTTGGGAACAAGTACAGGAGTTTGGCAGTGGGTGGGTGACGACTGCCACGGTTATCCAACGCGAGTTGTTGAACGCGACGGCATTTTAATTCAAATCACGAAGTGAATGCAGGGGAGGGAAAAATTCTGATGTAGAAAGTACGTTCCGGTCGGTCACGAGTCGACTGCGTTTGCACTTGCCGCCGTGTGTGCGCATCTGGCTGTCGGGCCGGCGTAAGGATATGCATGCGCATAAGGAAGGAACATTATTGAACCGTGAATGGATGTGGATTTGGATGTGGATTTGACTTGGATTTGACTTGGATTTGACTTGACTTGACTTGATTTGACTTGATTTGACTTGACTTGACTTGAAGTCAAGTCGAAATATTTGGCTTGGCGATTCGACATAGTCGCCTCACGACGACCGGGGGGATGCCTGCAAACCCGTTGTATAGGAACGTATAGGTGCAGCTCCCTTGGAGTTTTAGACATCATTCAAGGCTCAGAGCAATCATAGGGCTAACCGCGCGACACGCCAACATCATCATGTTCATGGGTATACTCAACTGTGACTTTTTCCAATCCTTGAAGCGTGATCAAGAGCACCACATCACCTCTTCTTCTTCTCCCCCGCCGTCCTAATCCCCTCCGCCTGCGTCTCAATAACCTTCCACCCATCCGCATTGCCCTCACCCTTCGCGGCACTCGCATACGCCTCATCGCTCCGATCGCACAACACCCTTAGATCCTCCTCGCTCAGAATCTCCTTGTCCCCGCTGAACTTGTACACCTGCCCATCCTTCAGCAACAACGCCCGCAGCGTCTCCCGATCCAGGTCCTCCTCGCGCAAGTCGAGCTTCTGGCCCATGGTCCTGAACCCGCCCTTCTTGATGACCAACTTCTCCAGGCGGCGCTTGGCGTCCGCGCTCATGAGCAGCTCCTCCTCCACCGTGCCCTTGGTGGCCAGCCGGTACACCACCACGGGCCGTGTCTGCCCGATGCGGTGGCACCGGTCCTGCGCCTGCAGGTCCTGCTGCGGGTTCCAGTCGCTGTCGAAGAGGATCACGGTGTCGGCGCTGGCGAGGTTGATGCCCTGCCCGCCGGCGCGGGTAGACAGCAAGAAGATTTTCACGTCCGGGTCCGTGTTGAACTGCTCGATCTGCGCGCGCCGGTCGTCCTGGGCGACGCCGCCGTCGATGCGGCAGACGTCCCAGGAGCGCAGCTCGCGGCAGTAGTCCTCAAGGATGTCGAGCTGGGTCTTGAACTGGGAGAAGATGAGGACCTTGTGCCCCCGCTCGAAGAGGGCGGAAAGGAGCCGGTCCAGCAGGAGCATCTTGCCGGAGGCGGTGACGATGCTCTCGTCGATGGGCTGGTCCGAGTTGGACCAGGGATTGTAGAAGTTGTGAGGACTGTTGCAGACGAGGCGGAGCTGGAGGAGTGGGTTTCCGAGCTTCTTGTTGGAGATCTCCTTTTTGGCTAGGTCGAGGGTCTGGGCACGTTCGATCTCCTCGGCATCGAGAATGGCTTCGATGTCTTGGACTTCATCCTCCACAGCCTCCTTGGCTAGCTTCTCTTCGAATTCGTCGTCATCGAGCTGTTCCTCGTCTGAATCTGCTTCTTTGTATGACTGCCTGCCTCGCCGAGTCCGGCCCCGGGTGCTGATGGGCGTAGACTGCCTGCTTGACTTTGTGCTCTTTGGTGCTGGAGTCTCTACAACCGGCGCAGCCTTCCTCTTGGTACCTGCCCTGGAAGCTTTGACTAGGGTGGTCTCTTCCGCAGGAGGTTCTGGCACAGGAAGAGCGTTCTTGCGCGGACGACCTCCTGTCCGTTTGCCCATCATCATTGCAAAAGCATTCTTGGCTAGCGGGCTTGATTCCCCCTCCTTGAGAGTGAGTGCGCTAGTCTTCGTCGTGAAGCTGCCGGATTCGCTGATCGTATCAGGTTCCATCTTCACGCTGTTCGCCTTGGAAGAGCGAGGAGTACTTCTTCGCGAGGATGCACCGCTGGTTGTGGCTCCAATAAGGCGCTCGACTACTTTACTCTCCAGGTATGACCGGGTATCGATATTTTTGTCGTTGATGACATTGTACAGATCGGTCTGTTCCTTTGTCATTGGTGCGTACAGTACGTATTCACGCTTCTTGGGTAGATATTTGGCGACGTCAGACTTGACTCGCCGCAGAAGTAACGGCTGAAGGACGACGTGCATCTTCTTAACAAGCTCCTGCTTGGTCTTGTCGGCGATGAACTCCTCGGTTCCTTCCTCATCTTCAAGATCGCTAAAGTCGAACCAACTTTCGAAGGCTTCCCAATCTCTAAAGATCTTTGGTAGGAGGAAGTTAAGAAGGGACCAGAGCTCCTTCAGATTATTCTGCAATGGGGTGCCGGTGATAAGGAGACGAGTGGCTGAAGTAAATGTCTTGAGTTCTCTGAAGAGTTTTGAATCAAAGTTCTTCATGCGGTGACCCTCATCGATGATGATAAACTCCCAGTTGATCCTGGATAGGTTGGCACGGTCCTTGAGCACCATCTCGTAGGTTGTACAGACAACGGGGAATTTTTCGGTCGGTCTGCCGCCGTGGAGATGGCGCATAATCTTGGTCTTGAAGATGTCCTGGCGCTGCTGAGGGGTGCCATGATACATGACAACTGGGATGGAGGGCACCCAGCGGTGGAATTCGTCAAGCCAATTGGACAAGGTGCTGAGAGGAGCAACGATAAGGTGAGGACCCAAGTAGTTCTCCTGCTCACGGAGGAGGGCTATTAGGGAAATGGTCTGAATGGTTTTGCCTGTAGTGTTATAGATGCAGCTGTTAGCCCAGACCAAAGCCGAGTTGGAAAAGACCGGACACTCAACATACCCAAGCCCATTTCGTCAGCAAGAATGCCAGACATGCCCTGGACGCAAATCTCATACATCCATGTCAGTCCCTCCAGTTGGTAGTCTCTCATGGTACCACCGACAACGCATTTGGGCTGCTTTGCCATGGTCAAGTCATGTTCACCAAGGGTCTTTCCATCCAGACCAGTGCCCACTCGACCAAGGACCTTTGTCTTGTTGGTCAAGATGCTGCTGAAAGCTGCACTCTGAGCAAGAAGCTGGTCGAGATCCTTTGCCTTTGCATCACGCTCCTCTTTGCTCAGGACCCTCTTCTTCCACTTCTTTTTGCGCTTTTCCTCTGCCTTTTCGTTTTCTACGCGAGCCTTTTCCTCTTCCTCGGCGAGCCTTTGCTCGGCGCGCAACTTTGTGTAGCTCATCTTTGAGTCGTCCACTTTCTCTTGTTGTTCGACTAATGGCTCTGCGGGTGGGGGAGACGAAGGGGCGCTAGTGGGCAGCCGGGACGGAGCGCCTGAGCTACCAGAGTCGCGATCGGACGACGTTGATGAAGATGCCGACGGCATGGTTCAAGGGTTTTGTCGGGCGTGTACCTTGATGGCCGAGTGGGTTTTCTGCTGACTTGACAATGGTCGAGATCCGTGGATAAAAAGAGCTTCAAGTCCAGCAAAAACAGAGAGGCAAAAAAAGACAGAAACTTTTTTGTGACACACACAGAAAAAGCAAAAACAGTTCTCAGTCTTTGTTGTGGTTGGTTCTTCGCCACATACAAAGAACAAACGGAAGGGAGATCAAGAGCGTCGAGGATTGAAGCAAGGGGTTAGATGATGGATTCCCCAATGGGCACAAGGCAAAGGCAAACATATACGACGGATTCAGAGAAGAACCACCATCGCCATATGATTGAAATTGTATCGGGAAATGCGAATTTGGGAGGCAATTGGCGATGGGATTGGGGCCGAGGCGAATTGATTTGTCAATTAAGAAAACGCGACGATCCACGCGATTTGAATGCGACAAGGGCATCGCGACGCGACACTGGTAGCACAGGCTGCCACGACGTCACGAGGTCCAGGCATAGCCACCAAGTGCACGGGCCATTCAGTCGCTCTCATCGCTACGAGTAGATACAGTATTCAAAGAAGTGTTCGTTGTCAAGCATGACTAAATGACTGGAAAGATATGCTGCGGCCTGAAAGTCAAAGTCCAATGTATGATGTTGATGTTGAGCCATTATGTTACGATCAAAGCTGCGATACAGACGGCTGCCATAATTCACACAGAGCTTGACATATGCGATGTTATGCATTTTTGGCATAAGCGTTTAGGACATGCACAGGATCTTGCCTGAAGCTTGCCACAGCACGGACCTGCATGGCCTATGGGGGGTCGTTATCCAGGTCTAGACATGTCCGTGCTTTATTCCTATTTGGGCGAAAAACTCGTTAGAGCGCCTCAACTTGTTAGTGCACAGAAGTACCTCAAAACCTAGTCCTTCATTCATCTCTCTCATTTTCCGGGCTTTCCGACATAGAAAAGTGCAAAGATTTTTGCATGCACAGATTTGGATCCAGAATAATACCCAAAAAGGCCCCTTTTGTGGCCAGCTGAGTTACGAAAAGGATCATTCCAACCAGACGTTTGCTGTTGAAGAAAGTGGTGGAGGGACTTGTGGTTTTGGGTGGGTTTTGGGGTGCACGGACATTGTCTGGACCTGGATACCGAGTCCCTGACTCCCTGCATGTCGCAGAGCTGCCCCTCGTCCCGTCCGATTTGACTCAACTCCATCGAGAAAGTGGCATGCCCCGCAATTGGGATTTAAGATTCAAAATTATTGTCCAGACATATAGAACCCGACAAAACCTCATACCCTAATAAACACTCCAATACCGGGAGTCAACGTCTTTCAAGCTGTTCCCCCTCCGATTTGCTCGTCCCGCTCTCCGCAGCGTCTTCTCGCGACAGTTCGTCTCGCCGACTTCCATCTCGCTGTCCAACTCGCGCATCATGGCCGCCCTCGACACCTACAAGTACACTCCCGCCGAGGAGAAGGAAGTCCAGCAATGGATCCAGAAGGCCGACACCATCAAGGCCTCAGACGATAAGCAGTCCGTCCTCGACGCCCTCAACGCCGACCTCGCTACCCGCACCACCGTCCTCGGCACCAAGCCCTCCAAGGCTGACATCGCCATCTACGAGGCCGTCGCCCCCCTCGTCAAGGCCTGGTCCTCCGAGGAGCGCACCGGCCAGCAGGGCCGCCCCAACATTGTCCGTCTCGTCGACTTTGTCCAGAACAGCCCCCTCTTCGGCCTTAACGTTGCCGACGCCGACAAGATCGCCATCGATGCCGACGAGATCCTCTACGTCAAGCCTCCCGTCGACGCCAAGGCCGAGAAGGAGCGCCTGAAGAAGGAGAAGGCCGCTGCTGCCGCCGCTGCCCAAGCCGCCGTTTCCACCGTCCAGGGTGCTGCCGCCACCGTTGTCGACCGCACCAAGGAGGCCGTTGCTGCCGTTGTCGAGAAGGCCGTCGAGGTCAAGGACCAGGTCGTCCAGGCCGCTACCGACGCTGCCCCCGCCGCTGCCGCTCCCAAGAAGGAGAAGAAGGAGAAGAAGGTCAACGAGAACCGCCGCCCCAAGGCCGCTCCTCCTCCTCCCGCCCCTCTCTCCCCCGGTCTCATCGACCTCCGTGTCGGCCACATCCTCAAGGCCATCAAGCACCCCGAAGCCGATTCGCTCTACGTCTCCACCATCGCCGTCGGCGATGCGCCCGGCACCGAGGACACCGCCGAGTACGAGGGCCAGGTGTGCCGCACCGTCTGCTCCGGCCTCAACGGCCTCGTCCCTCTCGAGGAGATGCAGGGCCGCAAGGTCATCGTGGTCTGCAACCTCAAGCCCGTCAAGATGCGCGGCATCAAGTCGTGCGCCATGGTGCTCGCTGCCTCGCCCAAGCCCCAGGAGGGCGTCGAGGACGACCACAAGGGCCCCGTCGAGCTCGTCAACCCTCCCGCCGATGCCAAGGCCGGTGAGAAGGTTTATTTCGAGGGCTTCAACGCTGAGCCCGAGAAGGTGCTCAACCCCAAGAAGAAGGTCTGGGAGACCTTCCAGCCTGGCTTCACCACCACCGGTGCTCTTGAGGTTGCGTTCGATGTCGATGTGTGCAAGGATGTTAAGGATTTGGAGGGCAAGAGCGGCATTGCTAAGCTGGTGACTGCCAGCGGTGGTGTCTGCACTGTTCCCACTTTGGCCGGCGCCCAGGTTAGGTAAAAGTTGTTAATGAGGCGTATAAAAAGGTTTTTATGGTAAAATAGAACGAAATGATGTTTAAAAGCTTGATATGGTTTGACCAATATTTGACCTTCCATGTGACAGCACGGATCTCATCCAATCTCCCCTATTTCTCTTTGCGTCGCCCCTTTCGCATATTTCCTTACCCCGGATTGCATTTCTTCCATCCAATCTCCTTATCCTTCCCCTAGCATTGACACGCTACACATACAGGTGATGATTGAGTTGATGACACTCTTCAAGCCTTGCGACTTCCACGGGCTCCTGAGAGTCAGGTCTCATTAGCTTGACCAAGTCAGCGTGGCACACAAGGCAAGTAATACCAAGGCAAGGCAAGCAAGATGTCTAGTAGGGCAAGTCAAGTAAGGGTAAATTTGACGCAAGTCAAGGCAAGTAAGGGGGGTTGCTTGCCTTGTTTACTTGCATATATGCATGCCCTCCTTTTTTCCCCTCAAACATACCCATCCACTACGTTCAGCGCGTACGTTTTAAAGTATAAATACGAGTGAAAATATAGGCATCAATCGTCGTATCGCTTCAAACTATATCTAACCGATTGAAACTTCGTTTTCTATACCAAACTGTAGTATTGAGGGTACATTTCAGTAACTCATTAGTTTAGGCAAGTAAGCAAGGCAAGTCAAGTAACAGATTGAAACAAGTCAAGAGAGGCCTCATCCTAACAAGGCAAGGCAAGTAAAGGGTTTTACTTGCCTTGCCTTGCCTTGTGTGCCACGCTGGACCAAGTTAGACCAGCAGCATTCCAGCACCGAAGTCTCTTTGCGTTCGAAGGCATGTAAACAACAACAACAACAACAACACGCGTATAAAAATAACTGACCAGTTCCCTCCACGGCATTGTCAAAAACGAAACCTCAACCCGGTAAATATTCCACCACAAAGTGGCCCATCTTGTTCCCCAAAACCCCTTCCTTACTACACTACCTAACTACCTCTTACTTTCCCAAAATCTAAACCACAACATCCACCTACTCACGTCTACCACAAAAACAATGTTCCTCTCCCTCACCAGCACCATCACCGCCGCTCTCCTGAGCAATAGCCCGAGCAATAATAGACTCAACAACAACCTTGCTCATCACCAGCAGCAGCCTCCGACAGTCTTGTCAATCCCAACAACTTGCCACCTGAAAACGCTTGCGACACCATGCTTCACTCACACGTCCACGACGAACCCGCGCTATTGTCCCAAGATGGTCTGCCCCCAGCCTACGCCTGCGCTTGCGCCTACGCTTACGCCTACGCCTACTGCTGGGCCCATGGCTTGTCCGTTGTATATAAGGGTTACTACTGTTGAGGTTCCGTGCAGGTTAGTTTATTTAGTTGTTTGATTCTTGTTATCTCGCCCGCGTGGCCTTGGTTGGATGCTTGGTTGCTACGTGAATGGACTGGTTACTGATGATAATGTTACGGATACAGAAACGACTGCTGTCCGACTACGCCGACGGTGTTGGTGACGAAGCCGTGTCCGAGTTGTGTTACTGGGTGTGTGGTGCCGACGGAGACGGTTACAGTGACCGCGACGGGGTGCGAGGGGAGTGGGAGTAGGGAGGATGAGGCTTCGAGAGGGATGGGGTTTGTTGCGTAGGTAGTGAGTGACCAAAGACGATGAAGGGGGGCTGGTGGGGGGTCATTGTGAACCTCTATGCAGTGGGTATCTATCTACTATTATGCCAAAGAATGTCCGAGTCGTAGATACAGAGTCCATGTACATTGCATCATGTCTTGATACAGCGAGGAGAGTTTCTATGATATGCTCAAAAACCAATCAATGTTAACGATAGTAATGTACACAAGAAGCCAACTTTCCCCATCAACCACTACATCCTCCGATACATATCCAGCCCATTTTATTTTCTCTTCGCGAACGCCCAAAATGCCCAACTTCATGTGTCGACATCTATATACAGAAGGTACTCCAGAACGCCGGCCTATGGATCGCTTTTTGATATCGAACATCCTCCTCCCTTGCTCCAGAGACCTCCGCTCCATATATACACCAGGATTGACAGAAGACAGATAATACTTCAGCCCCCATGTTTAGGAGAAGAAGTACGTGCTGTCCTTCAAAGACCGGACATCGAAGTCACCCTTCGCCGGGATTGGCGGGAAGGTCAAGGGAAGCCAGACGTCAATAGTGGACTTCTTTTTACCAGATGCGATCAAGGCCTTGCCGCGCTTTTGCGCGAGGGCGAAGTGGTTGGTGTTCCTCAGTGCTTCAAGCCCCCGTTTTTCATCGTCGTCCAGCATCTCATCTTCCTGCATCTCCTCGTGCTCGACGGCCTCCTCACTGCCATCTACTTCTTCTCCCTCCTCATCCATTTCCCGTTCCCTGCGAACCTTCGTCCCTTCAGCACCGGTGACGTTGCCAATAGTAACCTCCTTCAGGTCCTCGGGGACAGTGAGATCCTCATCGCTCGAATACAGTTCGTAAAGGCTGGCCGGCGAGGTCATCTTCTTGCCCCTCTTGACGTCCTCGGGGTTTGATGAGCGAAGAAGTTCTTGACGTTCTTTCTCTAGAAGCAGCTCCTTCCTAGGCCCGAGCTTATTCTTAACGCGCCACCGCTGGATTTCCTGGGCCACTTTTGTGCCTGATTCGATCTTGGCGAGGTAAAGGGAGTTCTTGTACCGAGCCTGAAACTCGGAAGCTAACCGGCCAATGACATCCTCACTGTGAATTCGGATGAAAGCATCGCGAATGACGGTGTTCATAGAGTCCACATCAGAAGCATGAGTCCAGAACGAGTCATGGACAGCGGCAAAGTCAAGTCCCAGTTCGTCGCAGTGCAGCGCTGACAGAATCATGTGACTGGCATCAAGCGAGTGAATGAAGTTGGGCGGGAAAGCCTGTAGCTGTTTCCTCCTGTTGACGGGATCGGATCTCTCCGGGATCGTCATGATAAGATCCTGCATGCAGGTCGAGACAGTCTTGGTCCCGTGCTTCCTGTATGGCTGAACGACCGGCATCCGCAAGGGTGTTGTCCAGATGATGGTTGACTGAAAATTGTTGAGAATGTCGTCATTCTTGTGGGAAGAGGACTTTTTGGGGGTTCCGGCAAGCGTCATATTCACGTCGGTTGTTGTCCCGTCTCCATGAGGAAACCGTTCCGATCTTTCAAACTCATCAAGCTGCTCGGGCGTCAAGGCGCGGCAGACACGTCCGCCAATCTCTCCAAGCCAGTTCTGGATGTCGTGAGCGCCCTTGAACATGGTGGACATTGCCCTGAAGATATGCTGTGTCACGTACGAGGCTAGAAGAGGGGTTTCGATGCCCGACTCGGCCTCGAGGTTCGGGTACGCCGCTTCGATTTGCTTCAGGACCTGTTTCTTTGCGCCGACATACGTCACGCCGTAAACATTGGTCATGACGGTTTGCTTCACCACCTTGCGTGTGATCTTCCCCTGCATGGCCTGGGCAAACTCATTTCCCTTGGCGAGATCATCCTCGATACCCTTAATGACCAACTTGGCAACAGCTGAGTAGACATCGGCAGGACGGTCTCCGGGAACCAGGTTGACTTGCTGTGCACCCCATGTATCACCACCGAGAGCGGCGTAATGCTGCAGTCCGTTGCAGGTTCCGTCTTGGTGTACCGGAAGATGGGATACATATTGTGTGGGATCCTCCAGCTCAAGTGCTGCCGCGAGCTCAAAGCACGTGGCAAGGCATTGCCATGGGTCCTCGGCCTCTAGCCACCACTTGTTTCCGTTCAGCGGGTTTGTTACCGAGTCGCGGATGTTCTCGATATTTTCATCGGCAAAGTCTTGACGTTCCTGCAGACTAGCCTTGTCGAAGCCGTAAACGTTGGCCAGGTGAACCTTGAGCCAGCGCAAGCCGCTCTCTCCCAAAGGCTTACCCTTGGCAAAAAGCATCAAGCCACGGAGATGGTCAGCGCCCATATGATTTAGATAAGGGGGAATGGGATAGGCGCGTCCACGAAAATCAACGTTGTGCGGGAAGTAGAAGGTCTGATCGCGGTATGCCCTGGCAATTTCGAGCTGGAAGTTCATGAAGCATCGCTGCGAATGCAAACCCGATCTCTCGTTTTCGATAGCCTTGATCTCCTTGAGCCACGTACGCTTGACGGTCGGGTCTTCGGTGGATGCCGGCTCGGGGGGTAGGTCAAAGACAGGGTTAAGAGGAGGAATGTTTGCGACCTGCTTGCCAGAGTTCCAGACCTCCAGCATGACCTTGAAGACTGAGGAATTGATCTTCCAACCTGTCTTGCCCAGGACATCGAGGCCTTTGAAGACCTGATCCATGTCACCGCGAGCGATTGCTGCCTCGGTGTAGAGTCTCTGCTCCCTCTCACCGTTCTTCAACCGAAGTACAGGGGTCTTGGTCTCGAGATAGGCACCCCTCTCAAACGATACCCAAGGATCCGGTGGGGTAACCATGGGAAGATGGCGAGCAAGAAAGTCCGGCACGGGTTCCCGAACCAATAGGTCGACGACGGCCTTGTTGGGAATGATGGTTCCAACCTTCTTGCCTTTTCTTAGTTGCATAACGTGGGAGAAGGCGGGCTGGTTTTGCGTGACAAGGGTTTTGGTCGAGGGATCCTCGCGGACAAGCGCGATCTTTGCCGTATCAAGAAGGGCGGACAGGAGGGCAGCGCCGACCTTTGTTCGGATCATAGTCGACCAGGCCTCGTCCTCCATAACGACGTCGACGTTGTTCGAGTCGGCCATATCACTGGAGCCGGCAGAAGCAGTCGAGTTCATGAATCGCAAAACCGAGCGGGGGTTGTGCTGTTTGGACTTGGTCTTTCGGAGGTTGCGCTTGCTGATCAGGGCTTCAGCCTTTTGTACCTTGATGTCCTCCTCGGCGAATTTGGCGATGTGAGTGATGAGAGATGCGAGCGTGGAGCCCTTGTGGGCACCGCCCATGGCGAGCGAGCTGAGTGTACTGATGATGGTGACCGCAGCCAGGCGCTCAGGGTTGGACTGTCTTATGAAGGGGCCGTAAATGCAGCGATCCAGGTCCTCCTTGTTTTTCTTGGTCGCCATCTCGGACTCTGCCACCTCCACAAGCATCGTGCGCAGACGACTTTCAAGGTCTTTCTGCCACTGGTAGAGCCTCGAATTGAGTGATGGAGTGTCGAGGGATGTATTCAGGCCCATTTTTTGAAGCGATTCGTTCTCCTCTCGCCAGCGTGCCAGGGATGCGTCAACGCAGTCCCTTTCCAACTTGGACTGGATCTCCCTCTGCTGGGAAATAGGCAACGTCGAGATGTCGAAACCGTCCGGGATGCCCGTGAACATGCTGATTGTCTGCTTGACGAACTCCAGACCGAATCCCTTTTGCGGAGTACCAAGAACTTGGGGGACTGCAGAGGGTTCGCTTGAAGTGAGCAAGTGCTCGGTTGTATCCTCAGATTTGTCAACACCTGTCTCTTGTTGCTGTTGTTTCAGCTGTTGCTGCTGTTGCTGCGCAAAGGTTTCGGGGTCCACGTTGTCGGGCATGTTGTACTTGGGGCACAGCTCAGCAACCTTTGTTAATTCCTCGTATGTCAAGATTTCGGTGTTGAAGACGGTCTCGAGGGCGGTTTGTGTGGGAAGTAGGCTTAGATATCTCGTAACGTAACGCTGCATTGTCCCTGCATCGGTGGAGGTGAGAGATGCCTTGAGAAGCAAGGCAACGGTCTCACCACCAACAGGAAACTCTCTGCCGCCGCTAACCATGGTCTCGAAGGCCTTGTGGATGTCATCGGCCTTGTCCACGCCAGGCTCTTCCAGGAGCTGAGAAACCTTGGCATCGAGATACTGGTTGAAGAGATCCAGATAGTCGGCTGGCGGTAGAACGTCCAAGTTGGCGAGACGCTTAAGAACCTGAGCCGCTCGCTCAAGACGTCCAACTTGAAGACAGGCCTCGAAAACCAAGTACATCTCATTGACGTCTCCAGGAATGCCGTGGAAATTCACGCGCTGCTTTGCATAGAACTTGGTATGATCCCGGACCGTCAAAGGGGCCTGTGGGGAGAAGGATCGCAGTTCGTACAAGGGCGCTGTCGCAGTCTGGGCGGGTTCGTCTAGTACAGTGGCGAGATGGCGCTCGAAGCCAACGGTCGCCCGGGGTGCAGGCTGTCTCTTGAGCGGGCTCGGTTGCTGGGTAGTGATGGTGGACAACAACCTATGGGTCGCAGCCAGCGAGCCCCGGACAGCGAGAGAAGGCGGGCATCTGGGGAGGACTCTACGGGAGCCGGCCGAGACGAGGCGGTTGAGGTGGGGAGTTCGGGTGGCCGAAGCCGTTCGGGGAAGCATCTTTTAAAGATGTCGAGGGTGTCGAGGGTGTCGAGATAACAGAGCGGGAGGGTTTGTTGGAGGCGATGTAGATGGGTGGTCGTATCGGGATTAATAACACATTGGACAAGAAAGACGGGGGAAGAAAGTTGTTGAGCAAAGACTATCGAATATTGTACAAGAGGGGAGGAAACGAGACGGCCCAGCAGTGCAATGCGACAAACAAATGCGATTGCAGTGGGTGGTGATGGTGCTGGTGGTGCTGGTGTTGATGTTGGTGTCTCTCCGGGTCGGATTCCTCGATCTGGTGGCGGCAATAAGTCGATGTCGAGGCCGTGGGAGGAGACTCTAAATGCCGTGTAAACAGGATGATGGGAGAAGCTGAGAGGGAACAACCGGCCGTGTGCTGTTTTTGCCGACTGGACTGTGCTTCCTCTTCCTTCGCTGTCTGCGTCTTTGGTGAAAATGCAGTTGAGGTGCGCAGTGGCAGACGGGAGGGCAGTGTAAAAGATAAGGTAAGACGCTCGACTGACGGCGCGATAGGATTTGCGATGGGACCCTCCCCAAATTTTTGATACCGCCCGAGCCCACCGAAGCCGATGGCCACCTTGGCGTACTGGCCCACCTGCCCACTGGGCGGCAGTCGTTAAGGTCGTCCCATCATGCCCCACCCATCCTGGACCTTGGTCTGTGCAACTGCTTAACAATGGCCTTGGAGGAAAATTCGATCTCAATCATGCGGCGTGCTGATTGGCCAATCTGACTTTTCACTTACACGGCCGACGGTCCACCCCGCCATCCGACCCACCTCTTCCGCCTCGACCCTGAGCGTTGCACCAATTGGACATCAGAGCAGAGCAACCCGAAGCTCCACGGATTCACAGAAGAAGAGGGCACGGTCCCCACCCCGCCTAGGCGACCAGAACATGCTCGATCCATTGAACTTATCCCACACTGTAGTGGTACCTATCCACAACAAGTACTTTCCGGGTGAACGCCTCGAGCTCCCGTCCAACACGTCGAGCCCAGTCCAGATCAACTCGCAATTCTCTCTCCACCAAACCATCACGACAGTTTCGAAGAAGACCTAAGAGCGATTCCCAACTCGTGATCTGCGTGTGTAACACTCGGCGGCCACCCCACGCGATTACTAGCAACCATGAGCGCGACTCCCGCTGTTCTCAGAGCTTCAGCCTGCTCAGCCTGCAGATTCTCGGCTCTGCGACTCTTCGTCAGCAGCTTCGCGACTCCCAGAGCTCCTCTTCCAGCAGCTCGTACCCGGATTCTTTCCCCGGCCGCCCCGTACTCGACCTTCCGACCTTCCCCCCGACTGCTGGCGAGCCCGACCATCGAAGAACATGCAGAGCCTGCCGCCCAAGAGCAACCGAACAAGACCGAGGATGCCCAAGCAGAGGCCAGCAAAGCAGAGGCCAGCACAGAGACGAACAATGAAGGCGGCGCTGACGTGCCTTGGTATCTCCAAGTCGACGCTCCCACACACCCCACCCTTGTCCACGAGCCGCCGCCGCTACCAGACATTCCCGAGGGCTCTCCCAAGCTGATGGAGCCCTTGGTCAAGTATGTATCCGATGAGCTGGGCATGGACGACCTCAAGCTTCTCGATCTCCGCGAAATCGATCCGCCACCTGCTCTGGGGCCCGAAGTGCTGATGCTCTTTGGCACTGCCCGCAGTGAGCGTCACTTGCACGTCTCTGCCGACCGTCTGGTACGCTGGCTGCGCAACCGTGGAGTCTCGGCCAAGGCTGATGGCTTGCTGGGAAGGAACGAGTTGAAGACGAAACTGAGGCGCAAGGCTCGCAAGGCGAAACTTCTCGGTACCACGGGCCTTCCGAGCGGAGCTGACGATGGCATCACCACGGGCTGGATTTGCGTCAACCTCGGCACTCTTGGATGGTCGGACATGGAAATGGAGTTCAAGGACGAGAAAGGCGTGACGAGCGGCTTTGGTGTGCCCCAAAGCGGGACCACAATTGTGGTGCAGTTAATGACGGAGACGCGGAGGGAGGAGTTGGCTCTGGAAAAGCTTTGGAGCGGCATCTTGCGGCGCAGTCTAGAGAGGCAGGACAAGATCGCAGGGAAGCTTCCTGAGGCCACTTTCACCACTTCACCCGACACTGTATCGCGCGAAACTTTCTTCCCGACACCCATTCGTTCGAGTGGACGGAACCGGAAGCGACCTGATCGCTTGTACTTCTCTACCTCGGCGCGACAGCACGCAAAGGCCGTCGACGTTTCGCAGACTGACTTGGCCATAGCAATGGCTGGATGGGAGTACAGCAACGCTAGCCCGTCTACAATTGACAACCTTCTGGCCCAGGATACCGATTCCAAGGTTCAGCTCTTATCCCAGATGCAGGACTACCTCTACAGCCTTCCCAAGGACCAGGCCCTCTCAGCGGTATCCCTTTGCGAAGACGGTTCGCCCAGCACCTTTATGCGCCTATTCAACCGTGCCATCGAGAACTTGCCCTCCGCCCAGGCGTGGGAGGCCCGCCTTTGGCTCGAAAAGGCTGCACGTGCTCTTCAGCATCCCGATCACGACCTGACCCGGTTAGGCGACCTCATCCAGGAATTGAAGCTCTCGGGAGCAGCCGATCTTGCGCGCGAAAAGTTTGTGGACCTCCTCCGGATGATATTTGCCATACCAGAGACGACTGACGCGGGCGTTCGCCAACAGGCTTCCCTCTCCATGGATGTAATCGACATGCTGTTTTCCCACGGCGAAAAGGTAATTGAGTACGACGTGGTTGTGGCCGTGATCGAATCCCTCCTGCGGACCGGCGCCCGCCCGCCCGAGGCGCGTCGACTCCTCGCCCAGTTTGAGGACTTACTTGGCGAGGCCCAGATGGACTGTCCGACCGAAGACGAGATCGTCAGATTGCTCGATGTGTACGCCAACCACCGCGCCTGGGACAAGTTCTGGAACGTCTGGCGCATCTTCCCCAGGTATTGCGAGCGCAGGACCGAACGCATGTACACCAAGGTATACCAGCGCATTGCAGCGGAGGATCACCAGGCAATGGCCACCGACGCTCTGAGATGGTGCGTGGAGGAAATGTGGCATGAACAGCCGCCTGTGAGGGTTACGGCGGCTATGCTCAATGCGCTTGAGGCGTGCATTCGCATTGCTGACCCGGAGGCAGAGTCTTTGGCTAAGGACATCGATGACAGGATCTCAGACACACAGTATATGGATCGCGAGTTTGTCAGACTTTGGCTAACTCTGCACGGGTCCGCGGCCTGGGGCGCATAAACAAAGGAGACGATTGTACGATAGCATATGGATGTAAGATTTACATGTATCATTAGTAGGGCGCACTCTTTGCATTCACAGCATTATCAACATGTCCATATGGCCGCCATGGTACTCTTATTGTCCCCTTCACCAACTCGACATATCGGCCACCAATAGGTCCTTTGATTAGGTTATTATGTCAATGATGTCCCGCCTCCTCACTCCCATTCAATCAAAGCCTAGCCGCCTCCTTCATCACGTCCCTCAACATAGGCGCCACCTGCTTCCGACTCTTATCCACCCGTCCCTGCGTCCAACACCTCACCCACTCCCCTTCTCCATCATCCGAATCCAACTTCCCGCCGCCCCACGTCTGAAGATGAAGAAGGTCCCCATTCTTCTCCACAAACCGCTTCGCAACCTTGACCGCCCCCTCGTTAAACGCCCACAAGAGCAACTCCCTCGTAAATTTCCCATCAGGGTTGGACACGGTCATGACGGCCGCAATATCCAGCTCCTGCTCCTTCGCCCAGGCCCTCAACGCCTCGCTGAACTGTTTTTGGTCTCCGATTTCCGTCAGGAGGTACTCGAACCCCCTGACTACCGTCGAGATCCCCACCGCTAGCCCGCCGTCTGTCCACCGCTTGTAGTCTTTTCGTAAGATGTCGCGGTAGCTTAGCCCGGCGATCTCTTCTTTGAGAGAGGTGATGTGGTTGAAGTAGGCTGTTCTGTCGTATCCTTTTTCTTCAGTGGCGGCATCCGCAGTAGCGGTAGTAACACTTGTCTTCTGAGATTGTGTCAAACGACCCTCAACAAATTCCACCGCCTCTTCATCCCACCTAGTTGTCTTATCCTTGCTCGTCAAGTTCGTAGTATCAACCAATATCGGCGCCAGCGCCAGATGCGCCAACTGCGACTCCCACTCTTCAAGGGTAGTATCCGTATTCCCCTCTTCGCTTCGCTCAAGTTTGCTCAGCTCCTCCCAAACAGGCTTGCAGTACTCCACCACCAGACTCATGCAACTCCCGCTCTTCTCAATCAACCTCGGTTTTACGGTGTCCGGAACAACGCCCTCGTCATCATGGTGGTCAATACACCCTATTATTTTTTCGGGACCCCCAAACCCGCGCGCGGCGAGCGGGCCGGTGAGGGAGTTGTGGTCTACTAGGAGCCATTGGGTGTTTTCGGGGGTGATGAAGCTGCTATCGGCGTCATCCTTGGAGGAGGTGGATAGCAGGCCGTCGAGGGTGATGAGGTCTTTGATGTGCAGACCGGCGGGCTTGAGGACGGCGGCGAGCTCGGGACGCAGGGCGAGGTCGGCTTGGGGCAGGTTGGAGAGCGGGATGTGGAGGATGGGAGGCCCAGGGCAGGGGCGGTAGGTGCGGAAGTAGGCGAGGAGGATGGAGGAGCAGAGGGAGTCGAGGTCTTTGGTTTGGTTTGGAGAGGTATGGTTAGTTATTCGACTGATACTAAGGATGGTCTCTGGCTGCTGAAATGTAGTCAAGTTAAGTTACCTGCTGATTCATTTCCTACGACAAATATCAAAGGGTTTGGACGCTGTACTGGCGGTGCGAGCAGCGCCTTGCGAGCTGTCAAGAGGAACTTCTTGAGGGAGACACGGGCTGTGGGCGCCATTGTCTTGTGTCTTGTGTTTTTCTGGCGTATAATCGGCCTGTCAACGCTGGTTACCCTCGAAACAACAAATGAGCCCGTGGGTATGTACTGCAGAGGTTTGTGTTCGTGAAACACCGTTCAAAGTTCTGCACAACAACACTCTTCGGTCCCTGCACATGCGCACGTCATACAGTAACTCCACGACGGGACGAGGGGAGCCACTGCCGTTGAAGGGACGGCGCGGCCTTGGCGGTGCCTCGGCTTATCGCCGCCCGCACCGCCTTCAGTCCCAACCCCACCATCCGGGCGAGTGTTCACCGAGGTGGACCCCACTGATCGTCCTCCGAAAGCGGAGTCTGTTCTCGACCGGTCGCTCGTATCGATAAGAACCCCGCCAGCAACGGTGAGGAGTTGAACCTTCACGCGCCTCGGACCATGGCGGCCATGGCATCAACCGCCACCCTGATTCCGCGAGTACCGGTTGCTTGAGTTTCATTGTTGTGAGTCAAGACTCGGTGCCTGTTGGTTGAGTTTAGGTAATCTGGTCCAAGGCGTGAATGCCATCGCGAATAATGTTTGTAGGCGATCAACTGTCAAGATTTCGAGGGTACAACACTTTGATCCACATCTTTCAGTCTCATCTTGTCCTTCTATCCTTATCACTTACTGAACTTGTGACTCTCGTGACCTTATCTCCTCATGCACTTTACTCCCGTCCTTCTGGCTCACAACCTCAACGTATCAGTGTAAAAAGCCCGCTCCTCAAAGAACTTCGCACTTTGCTTCTCACGCATCCATCCTTTCTCTAATTCAAGTCCCAACCGAACACTTCATCACCACAAGCTCCAACCCACCACCTAACCTCAACTCAAAATGGCCTCCCCAACCGCAACCATCCCCCCACCCACCACCCCCCTCCGCCTCGCCATCCTCGAAGCCGACACTCCCCCCGCCGGCGCACACGCCCGCTACTCGGGCTACCGCGGCGTCTTCACGCACTTATTCACCCGCGCCCTGGCCTCCCCAGAGCACCCCTTATCCTCCTATCTAACCATAACCGCCCACGACGTCGTCAACAACATCTCACCCTCGGATCCTTACGGCGATTACCCGTCCCTCTCGGAAGTCGACGCAATCTTGATCACGGGATCCAAGCACAGCGCGTATGAGAATGACCCCTGGATTCTGACTCTGACGGAGTTTGTGAGGAGGGCTATCACTGAGGGTGACGCGGAAAACGGAGGGAGGACGATCAAAGTGTTGGGGGTCTGTTTCGGACATCAGATTGTCGGACGAGCGCTGGGGCAGGTTGTTGAGAGGAATGAGAAGGGGTGGGAGGTTAGTGTGACGCGGGTTGGGTTGACGAGTGTTGGGAAGGGTTTGTTTGGGGGGAGGGAAGACTTGGTAGGTTTTTTTTTTTTTTTTTTCCTGGCTGAGGATGGATTCGGTTCCCCGCGAGTTTTTGAAGGGTGAAGTGCTGACAAACTACAACAGAAAATCCAGCAAATGCATCGTGACCATGTCGTAGGCGTTCCCGAGGGCGCGCAACTCCTTGCTTCTACGGACGTCTGCGAGAACCAGGGGTTCATTATTCCGGGGAAGGTGTTGACGGTGCAGGGCCACCCGGAGTTTACGACGGATATCATGGAGGAGTTGTTGGAGTTGCGAAGGGCGACCGGTCTTTTCAACGAGGAGCTGTTTGGAAGTGGTGTGGAAAGGAACAAGGTGGATGATGGTGTGTTCATAGCCCAGGCCTTTTACAGGTTCTTGCTGCAGGAATGAGCCGAGGGTGGCGATGGATAGAGTACAATATCAGATTTGGATGGATGGATGAATGTTGGATGCAGAAATCAGGAGTAGCATGGCAAGGTACGGGCTCATATCATATGAAACACATTAAAGGAATGGACCATCGTTGTGTTGGTGTGTCCGACTTTGCAGTCTTCTAGAGTATGTTCTGTGTTTGGTGTGTATATACAGTATGCTAGGCGCTACGTAAAAGTAACAATGCTAAACATCCATGATTTTTATAGATCAATTAACCTACCCTCCCTCCGCCTTTCTCGTCCCTCCATCCCTCTCTGTGCTATGGTTGATACAAAGGAAAAACTTTCAGAAAGCAGTTAAAACTTGAGAAACGCCACAACACCAATCGCAAATGCTTTCGATCCCATGTTTCAATGTAACGGCATGTGTCATGACCGACAGCTAAAAAAACAAAATGACCGAGGCCCAAAAAATACGCAAGCCGACCCAGGGGTATAATCTGTTTGGTCTCAACAACAACAAAAAGGAAAACCAAAAACGCCATGACTTGAGTTAGAATGACAAAAGAGAGATAAAACAGGAAGGGAAAACACTAAAGTAATAGTAGCCACCTGTGGGTGTATCCAAAAAAAGGTAAAGAAGATTAGCAGGGTGGCAAGTCAAGCGAGACTCGCGTCTACCAGCCTCCATCTCCATTCAACCGATAAAGCTGAGCCCAAAAATCATCATTCGCATCGTCGCTACGTTCTTCATGGTCATCGATCATCCCATCGAGTAAATCGGCTGTATCCCACCACTCAACGGCTCCTGTCTTCCTCGTCGCAGCACCTCTAGCGCCACCAGCACCAGCTTCAACATCAGCACCCTCAAGAGTAATCCCGTGAACAGCGCGTCGGGCTCTCTCGTCCGCGATTTCCTGCTCCCGTCTTCTCCTCGCAAGCTGGCTGTCATGGAACATTTCCTCCCTGGTCCTGCCCGCGAACCCGACGTCTCCCCAGAGGCAGCTGCCACTGAACCGCATCCGTGCCCGCAGCGCAGTCCAAAAGTCCCCCTGGGCGTACTTCCACGGTTGCTCTCTCATAGTGAAGAGCGTGCAGTCGACCGCGCCCTGGATGCCGAGGCTGATCATGCTCACGAACACAAGCCACTGCGGGTTATGCGGGGAAGTTTTGTCGTCGTAGAATACTACCTGGGAGAGGAAGGGAAATACCCAGACGATCATGTAGACGAGCGGGTAAGCAAACAGCGCGTAAAGCTGGCGTCGTGCCCTCTCGCGGTTGCGAGTAACGCCCGAGTCGCCTCCAATTGAACCGGGCGATATGGTGATCGAGGAAGGCCGAGTGGTGGGAGGGTTCTTAGATGTTCGCGGAGGTCCCTTTCGAAGCATCGTGAGGATGTGAGTGAGTGTGAGATCGATGTGATATGTGCTTTGGTTAACAGTGGTGGTGGAGCTTGGCGGCAAGTCATGGGTTGCGTGGTTTCCGTGCACTGTTGAGCATTCCGAAGGGACTGGCCTATGCCAATAGGAGCGTGGGCTGGCAGATGAGTTGTCAGACCGGCTGGCCCTGGGTGGTCTCTCGGGAGAGTGGACCGGGAGCGGCGGCGAGGGAAGTGGTTGAGACAGAGGGTCGTCCGGATCTTCCACCATCAAGCGTCCATTTTCCCCGGAGGATCGGGGGGTGTGCACAAATCCAGGCCAATTCCAGTTCATCTTCGCTGGCCTGTGCTTTGACGACCGTCCTGACCTGCTAGTTGGCTGCTCCCCAGCTTCGTCCACATATAATTCGAACTGAATCGTGCTGATCGATGACACAGACCTGTTGCGGTCCTTGACGGTAACATTCTGGTCTGCCGCAGATCCCCTTCGCGAGTTTGGTAGCGACACAAGTAGCCCGTGGGATATCAGCCGAGGGGTAGGAGGTGCGTCGTGCGTATCCCGGGAGCGCGGGTGGTTCATATTTCCCGAGCTTCTCCTTCCGTAATCCTCCAATCGGTTGCGAACGTAAAAGTAAACAAAGAAGTAGATGGCCAGGATGCTGCAGCAAATGACGTAGCGAGGAACCCAACTGAGGGCCAGCCGTGCCCAACTCTTGTCTGTCCGGAGGTAGCAGTAATGGCCAGCCTCCTGGTATCCCGTGCCGTCCACAAAAGCCAAGCTTGCGAATAGCACGGGAAAGAAGTAGTAAGCCCCGTATGCCCAGTGTCGGTAGCGATAGAGGCCGGTCCGCAGGCGTAAGATGGTCATCAGAAGGTGAATGGCGATGAGCAGAGCTGCGATGTCGGACGCCTCGATGCCTAGCGCGAGACCGAATCCGGCAATTTGGCAAAAGGCAGAGTCGGAGCGAATAGGACCTCGGAGTAGGTGCGCAATCGAGGGGACGATGAACCACACCGACTTGATCAAGTCACTTTGAATAAGCAACACTATCAGTCTGCGCGCATGACGGTTAGTACTTGATCAGTTCTTGAAACAAAAGTAGGTTGCTTACTCATGCCGAAACGTCTTCCTCATTTTCACGAACCAGTAAAAGGTAAAAAGCGTCAGGATGAGACTGAGTGAAGCGAAGGTAAGTGATACAATCGCAAGGTCGTTTTTCAACACGCGATCCTGTTCTGATTCCCCAAATTCATCCCGAATTCCAGCTCTGAAATCTCCATGGTGGGTTTGCATCGTCGGGCTACCAAAGGCCGACTCCAAAATTGTACTGATGATAGCCATACCGTATGACTTGGAACTCTACTGGTATAGGTCGGTAATGAGATATCGGCGGCGGCCAGCAAGGACGACGTCGTGTCTGTTGTTGTCTGGCCGACTTTGAGTCTAGCCTACGTTCACCAAGACAGTCCATCGGTCCTCCGGTGCATCATGTAGGGCCCTGGGTTGGTGGAAGTCGGTAGAGTCGGAACCGACTCAAAGAACAACGTCGGTGCAATGGCGTGTATCAGTCGGATGTGGAAGGTAAGAAGCCGGCGGGAGAGTGAAGCTGGATGGACAATGGAAGGAGTCCGGAAGGAGGGAGCCGGAGAGGTGAGTCTCAGAGAGCGGTGGTCACAGTGACGAGGGAGGCACCGAGAATAAGTGAATGAGATGCAAGCACGCGCACCGCTCTTTTGTCTCTGTTGGCAAGAAAGAGCAAACAACACCGGGCGGAATGAACCGTGTCTGACCGTCCTTTTCCACACACACACGTAATGACCAATCTGGTGCCCAATTCTTCCCTTTGTCGTATTGGAGTCGCTGAATCGATCGTTTGCCGTCGTTAGGAGTCGATGTAGTAGTCGGCGGAGGCGTTTGTGTAAGTGGTCGGTAAGTTGATTAGTATTGGTGTCAAGCCCGATCGATGACTTGTAATCCAACTGAAGAGGGATGAAGGGATTGATGAGTAGTATAGGCAGGCGGAAGAAAAAGGTGAGGAGTGAAAATAGAACAGGTCCAATGATGTACATAAACGGAGTACCAAAGGGGTACGATGGGGCGAGCTAACGTTGTCACCCTTGTTACCCCATGAATGCGGAATATGTTTGAGCAGATTCGGAAGGAGATGATATGCACGGCCGGTAGGAGAGCAAGTTGAAGAAGGTAGTATTAGCGGACGATTAATCAATGGGCAAGGCAGAGAAAGCCCCTTCCTGGTTCGGTTCGAGGTTTGAGCGAGGGTACAGACCCGAGACTGAGAGGTAGGCAGAGGAGAGGATGATGAGAAATGGGGAGGCAAACTACTTGTGGAATCTCCAGGGCTAGCTTGCTTGCTAGGGAAAACGGAGAATCCAACCCCGGAACGGTGAGCCGTGGGAGCGAGCATCGTGGGACTTCCGCCTTTTTTGGCGGCGGGCCCTGTCAAGCCTGCAATGCTTCGGTTGCTCGAGTCCTGCTTGGTTTGTTAGGCGACTTGTTAGGGCGCCAGGAGTAAAGTGAGTGTGTGGTAGTAACTCCCGTTCGCTTGGGTCGTCCCGGTCCACATCGGACGAGAATCCGAGAAGTGATCAACATGACCACTCGAGACAAGTCCTGACAATGTGACACGGCTCTGACGGCCAGGTCCTTGTCCAGCTACCAGTAATGTCCAGCACTGGCCGGGCCGTCTGTTTGACTGGCTGGATTCCCAAGCGAATGAAAGACAGTGGGGACTCGGGAAAGCAATGTTCATGTCGAGAGGGAAAAGTGTGAAGTGCTGCCGTTGCCCGGAGTGCCCGCTGCATCTCTCAGTCATGGTCCAAGCAGGCGTGCGTTTGGCGTGTGTCGTGACTGCCTTGGAAAAAAAAGTAAGAAAAAGATTGGCGAGAAGGTGCGGGGTGACGGAGGGTCGACACTGCCCGGATATCAACTGTGGTTTGCACAATAGCTGAAACCGCTTGAGCTGTAAATACGGAGGGCAAACAAGACGAGAAGGAATGAGATGGCCAACCAGCACACTTGCATCATGGTCAGTCATGTCCTTGCAGATTGTTTGGATGGACGAGTCGATTCTCCTCAGATCACGCACACACCCCGTCTTGGCCGTCGTCCATCCAAATGCCAGAGAGAAAGACAGCCGAAATCCAACACCATCACTATCCAACGATGATGGGCAACCACTCGGGCACTCCACCATCCGCTGAACAGGTCACAAAATGTGGTTGGCGTTGACTGGCCAGTGAGACGCCCACGAAAAGGCAAATTAAGCGATGAGGAGGGGCCGAAGAGGGGCGCGTGTTGGGGCGGTATGATGACAGTGATGACAACCTGGAATTGAAAGAGAATGGCTTTGACTTTGCTTCTTAGGCCGCCCTCCCGCTCCTCTCCCTCCACTCGTTTTCGGCCAACGGAACGCCCGCGACAGGATACGAGAAGAGAGTTTCGAAATGCTTGAGTGGAATTGGAATTCACTTTTCAATGTCGGCCATCTCTGTACAGTCGACACCGTGTCGGAAATGCGGTGGGAGGAGCAGCTAATGGACAGGAAGATGTTGAAAGTGGAATGAATTGCCAGCCAGGTTTGGGAACTTGGGAAAACCTAAAGTGTCTCTTGGCCCGCGCTCAGCTAACAGATTTTGCAGAAACTTGCATACATTCCAGATAGCGGAAAGCACATCCGATTCTCTGGCAGTCGGGCCCCACCCCACGCAACATCCCCTCCAACGGGCACTGTGCCATTGTAGGGAAAACATTTTATATCATTCCCCGGCACTTGCAACTTGATTGTCCCACCCCATCTCGTCATCATCCTGCAAAGAGCCATGCTGCCTTGGCTGATGAGCATTGGATCTCAAAGGTCGGTCCGGGTGCGAGTACCGGAGCATGTCTGATTGGGATGCCGACTTGATGATTACTCACGAGGCACCATGAGTGAGTGTCAGGCTCTGCCTACTGCTGCGCATTGTCTGGACTTTGGCGCGGGATGCCTGATCCAGCACGGTATGTATACACGTTGAATTCAATGGCGAGTGCCGCAATATGCGCAACTGGCCAGCCATTTTCAAACCAGAATCTCAAGCCACCAAGTTGTGAGGCTGTCTCTTGATTGGCCTTGATCATGGTCTCACCCGGACGACTTTCCACCAACCAAGGGCACTCCTCTCTTCACCCACGGGTGATCAACTCGACAGACAGGGGGATCATCTCGACTCGACATGGGAATCCCCAACCGTGGCTGAGGGCTCCATGAGATGCAGTCTAAAAGTCTTCGCCTCTGTCCGAAACATTACAAATATCTTACATACCTCCTCGTTTATCACCAGAGTTCGGCGACCAAAAACCGAGCGAGACTCACAATGCCTCACTGCCACATGTCGCCGCCGCCATCAGAGTACATAGCCGAGGTAGTGTACGAGCCGCCACCATGTGGGAGTCTCAGATTTGGATATTAGGGGACCATATCCACATCCAGTCCGCTCCGCGGTATCTTTCGCTCGCTTCAACACCGAGCAACACCGGGCATTCAGGCATTGTATGAGGCTAGGCTAGCCAGAAGAAACTTGGTAAACGACGCTGAGATCGGGTCTGCACGGCATGGTGGCATGAGGGGATCTCAAGGTAAGGAGGCAAGGCATCCAGTGGGCATTGGGCATTGAAACAGGTGGTTTTTGGCGGGCGAGTGAAGACAGTTACAGATCTCGACAGAGTTCCCAGAAGTCCGGGGCTGCAAGGACAAAATCGCCGTTCTCGGGCTTGATGTTGCTGATCAATAGCACGGATCTGTGTCGTCAATCTCGCGCGCAAATCACAGGCTTTGCTCATCTCACTTGGACGTGGGTGGACTTTCTGGCGGTTACTCTTTTTAGAAATCGTCAAGGTTCTCTTTAGCGGGAAATTGCTCCTTGGCTCTTGATGCCTCACAGCAAGCGGTCGGAGACGTCTCCGGTGGATACATATTTTTGAAGAAACCCCGCTGGTAGCCTAGCAACTAGCCCTCTCTCGCTCACAACTTGCTCCATCTTGCGGGTTTGCGGTCTGTCCAGACAACTGGAAAATGAGCGGACTGGAGCACACCGGTGAACACTTCACCAGTCACCACAGCCGCGGAAGTGACAGCTCGTCAGCCAGCCATTCCGGCCCTCTCAGCCCCAAGCCTAGACTGACTTCGAGATATCCAACCGCTAGTTTGAGAATAAGCAAAATCCCACGAGGTATCGAGATATCTGAACCATTTGGGCTTCTCTACAACCCAATAGCCCTGTCTCTTCTTCTTTCTTTTCTCCCCTCCTCTTCCTCCCGCGCAAAATATCCCGACACTTCGCAAGCCACCACCCCATCCATCCATCAAAGACTTTTTGGTCGTGCAAATCCCAAGGGGATCTCAAGGGGTGAAAATGGCAATCGAGTGAAAGTGACACTTGGACCTTCCCATCTTGAATTAGGCAAAATAGTCCGGCACGCAGCGCCAGCGATCCGTCCTTCGCTCCCCGTAACGTCTCCCGACACTCTGGTTAAGCTCGTCCATCTTGCTGGGCAGACTGGGTTGGCACGGACAACCATTTGACCAGAGGAGGAGTGCTAAGGACAGACGGGGATAGCGGGTACCACATGCCGGGAATTGCAAAGTGGGGCCCGCCTCTCCTCGAACCGAATGACCCCGGCCCCGCGGGATGGTTCCGTCCAGTCCCGTTCCGTCCTTTTTCTCATCCATGTCTTCAGATGAACGAACCGTTTTCCGTACCCGAAGGTCTCCGCCCGCCCGCGCGCGACTCTCCTCACCCCTTCGAATCCCGGCGGTCAACGAGTATCATATGTTTTTCATAAGGTAACAACAACGAATCCAGGTGACTACCTACACTAGGTAGGTATTATCGAGGTAGTATCTCACCTGAAGCATCACAAAGACGGTCAACCGCCCAAACTTCCTCCCAGTCCCCGGGCCCTTCCCCGAGAGTCTCAAGGGGGGGGCCAGAATATCCTAGTCCAGGAGTCTCTCGTACGACCAAAAGGAATCCAGGGCGGGCGGCCCTCCCCTCGTTTCGTCCCTACTCCTTCCTCAGTCCTTGCACAAAGGAAAATATTAACTGAAGAGGAAACGCCCCAACGGTCCTCGCTCGCCAACGGAATTAATACCTGCAGAACGGTGGAGCTACCAAGCCCCGTAACCGGAAGGCCTTCCGCTCTTTTGTCACCCTCTGCTTCGTACTTGGCGATACTACAGGACGAAATTACGGAAATTGTCCATTCTTCAAAATGCAACGCAACGGATAGTTCTCATGGAGCGAGAGCAGTGATCGTGTTCATTCACGGAATGAAGGGGTATGTATCCCTTTTTTTGTGAAATGGGGGAGGGGGGTGGAAGGGGGGAAGGGGGGGGGTCTTGGGGCTTCGGCTACCGTAACCAGTTGGCCCTGACGTCCCTGACCGGGTATGTACCTGTATGAACAAAGACGCGTAGGAAAGCCATCATATGACGCTCACAACCTTGGACGGGAACCTTGGATGAGCCCCCTTCAGAGTTCAACGGTTCCCGTCCGTCCGTCCCCGTCCGCCCGGTTACGATACCCATTGTCCTCCTGAATGCATGCAGGGAAAGCCTTGATTTGATGAAGGCCATCATGGGGGTGGGTACTGGATGGGTTTTCCAACGTTCAACGTTTCGATCATCCTTAATGTGAGAGAAATGATTTCATGCCAACGATTGGAAAGAGAGTCATGAAAGATAGGGGCCAATTGAAAAATAAGTGAAAGTTCCATGAGCCTTTCCAATATATTCTACCCATGTCGTTACTTTGGTTGAAATAGTAAGACGCTGGTTTACCACTACAGAAGAGACAGAATGGTGACGCCGACTCTCTTCACCACCATACCATACCCTTACCGAGTTAATTTGTTCAAAAACCAGGTGGAAAACAGAAAGTCATCATTATCGTCATTCTGGTCGGTGTTCATGTCATTGAGCATTTTTCGAGTGCAGACTATCAAAACTGCAGGTCGCTACACAGATTCCAGCAAATCGATGCTTTATGTCAATTAATTGTACGGGTGAGAGAGGCTATTTCGAATGTCACAAAAAACCTACCTAGGTAATGAAGAAACTATTAAAATATTCAGAGAATCTTGACTCGAGACGAGTGTCCAAACTAATATCTTGCTTCCACCATCATTGGAATTGAGCCAAGGGAGACGAAAAGGAGTAGCCAATGTTATCCACCTGTTTATTCACTTTGTCTTGAACAACAGGCGAATGGACCAAGATTCCGTTTCCATACTGTGAAGAGCATAGACAAGTCCTACCTACACTGGTTGTTCCATCTCCAACATCGATTACATTCAGAGACTGGAACCGCAACATTGCTTGCTTGCTTGGTCTACTCACATTTTTGAGAATACTTTGATGAAAGTTCTGATAGAACCTTCATTGATGCACTTGATGATGATGCTAGATTGCCTTCCGACAAGGTTTAAGAACCGATCGTTTGCTACTAAAAACGGCCAACAAAAAGGTGTTATTGGGATTTCAAACCAGGTTCCTAACCATGAAACACATACATACGTCCATGCAAAATAGGAATGAATAATGCGGCGTAGGAGTGTTGCAAAATACCTACAACTGACTGATGCTTTTCGCGTATTCCAATAAGGACCACTGAAATAATAATCACCACGCATAACGAAGACCGCAACGAAAAGGATAAGAAAGTACCAAATGAATCACCATTCCCGCTGACTCTCATGCTAGGTAATGACACCCAAAAGCAACAACAACAAAACACCTTTTATATGCCATTTTCACCATATCCCATCTCAAAACCCAAACAAACGCTAGCCGTACCCGCCAATTCCTGCCACGCCCTTAAACAGGCCACAAGCTCGTTTCTCTCTTGCAGGCTCATCCGCTGACCACCATCTTCCATTCGCACCCACATCACGTTCTGGCGAGCCTACGCCAGCAAGTTGAGATACGGTTCCGGCCAGCGTCCCCAGATCAGCGGGTGGTTACCCAGCCGACCGCTGACCGGCGACAGGAACTTGACCCGCCTGCGCTCCTGGTCCACGTCGGCGATGACGATGAAGCCCAGGACCGAGGAGAAACGGATCGCCTGCGGCGAGTCGGTCACGGATGCGATCATGACTGCTAGCGTCCAGTGGGCCATTTCGGGGGTGATTTCGACTCGCTCGAGGACTGGTGCGCCTTCGTAGGGTTCTATTTGGTGTCGATACAGGCGTTAGCTTAGATTCTCGGTAGGTAGGGTGAAGATAGTAGTTGGGCGTGCATAGAGAAGAGAAAGACAAGACTCACCTTCGGGCGCCTTGAAAACGACCAGCTCGTCGAAACTGGCCGATTGTGTAAAGGGGCTCAGTCGCGCCTTGATGCCACCAAAGAAGTACTCCTTAATCGCCGTCTCTGTCGACTTCTGCCTCCACCCCTTGTCTATCTGCACAGCGCCATCCGACTTGTCTAATCCGAGGACGGTGATCGGCTCTCCAAAGCTCGTCTTTTCGCTTGCAAACTGCTGCCCAAGTTCTGTCTTTAACTGTTCGGAGCCGAGCACAACGACGTAGTTGGCTATAAGTCGCACACCGTTCGTTAGCTTTCAAGCACCATTTTTCCTCGAAACCATATCAGATAGAAGAAGAAAAACTCACCATCAAACTGCCTAACCGCCCACCCCAACAGCTCCTGCCCCTCCTTATCCCCCGCCTCCACCGGCGCCGTATCAACCAACAACCCCGCCACCCTCACATCCCGATTCCTCTCAAACTTGCGCTTGACCAACACCGCCAGCCGCTCCGTCATCTGCCTCCACATGTCCACGTCGTCCTCCACCTTCTCGCGTCCAAAGTAAAAGGTAAGCGGGTTCTTGACCGGCACCGCGCTCGGCCCGCTAATCGGCGTGTTCGTCACGCCAAACCCGCCCGCCGGCTCCTCCACGTCCATCAGCGTGCCGAACACCGCCGCGCCCAGCGTTCCGGGAAGACACAGCAGCCCGTCGGTCGGGTTCAGGTTGGCCACCAGCGGCTGGGAGCCCATGCGCGTGGCGAGGGCGGCGAGGAGCTTGACCAAAGAGGTCTTGCCGACGCAGCGGGGACCGCAGACTAGCACTCTTGGTCCCGGTTTTGGCCTTGTCGCTCCTGCTCCTGCTCCTCTCCCTTGTTGTTGTTGTTGTTGTTGAAGGTGGTGTGTTGGGTGTAGTTGTGCATGCGCGGCCGCGGCGCGCTCGTGGTCTTGTAAGCCGAAGTGGAGGTTTAGGTAGCTAAGCATGGGCGACTGTTCCGGGCTCGGGTATTCGACCACGCGGTCCTCGAGGGGGTAGCCGCCCGTGTTGTTGATCTCGAGGGTACATCCTTGGTCTGTGAAGAGCTTCGATTTGGTGCCGGGGAGGAATGTGTACACGCAGTTGGGGGCGAGTTCGGTGCCATCGCGCTCAGCGGTGCCGGCTACGAGGCGGACGGTGACTCCGGCGGCGGAGGAGTTCGATGAGAAGGTACTGTGTTGGTGGGGGATCGAGAAGCGCCATTCGCCGAACGGTCGGAGGTTGATGGTTCGCTGGGTAGATGTGGGAGCCTAGATTCTCGTAGACGGGCAAATAGCAGGCGATGGTTAGCTGGTACGATCTCTATAGACGGGTCACGAGTGCGACAACGGATAAGGCTTGGAGGGGATGGTGATGACGTTGGATACGCGGCGCGCCTATACGAAGCATGTCCGCCCGAGAGCTTCTTGGTTCGTTTACCTGTGGAGCTATCTGACCGAGGCCTGGAATTGACATGGCGGGCTGTGTTTCAGCGCGTGAACGAGATGATTCACAGGCTGTTGGATATGTATTATTCCTCCTTTTGTAGAGGTTTTGTCTACGTTTGCGCCGATTGGAGTGGAAGTTGTACTCTCAGAGTTTAAAGTCCAACCTGTGGCATGCAGGGATGATTGTCGCATGCAGGTGGAAGAGCTGATGCTCACTGCAGCAAGGCTGTTTGTTGGAGCTGAGTTTAGCGGCTGCAGTGGGGCTCAAACGTTGTATACCCTGGAGGTAGCGTGTCAAGCTGAGGTCATTGTCTTGGGCTCGGTTGGGGTCTTCGCTTTTCATCCCATCTCGAGTTTCGAACTCACCTGGCAGGTTAAAAGCAGTCACAGGCTTTCCATTTACTTCCTGGAGAGTTGGTCAAAATTCAGACATAGAAGCATTCATGGAATAGTAGTTTTGATCAAGAACGAAACAGTCAAACGTGGTACCTTGTTCGAACACAGAGATATGAATTGTCATCATGCACAAGAGCATTCAGATGATGATACAGCCAAGTTAGAGATCTGACAAGATTATCGAGTAACCGCGTGCAATGAAAATGAGGGGTATATTGAATGAAAAGAAAACCGTCCCCCAAATAGACCCGTATAGCTCGTTGGCCTTCTTTTGATGATGTTCATAACGGACATTAAAAACCTCTCCTCTACCTATGCATATATATGTGTATATGCCGTCTTCCCTTTTCATCTCTTTCTCTGCCTCTAACCAGCCCGTGACATGCTCTAACCGTAGTCTCGCAAAGTAGCCACAGTTGCAATCCCAAACGCCTTGAAATGCCGCCTTAACTCCACGATTGCCTTGGGAAACCCGCCCTTCAATCATCTGCCAGCTGTTCAAAGATCTTGATCAAACTCCGAACGCCAAACAGGGCGTTCTCGTCCGGGCCTTGTCCGGGTGTCCACTCGGCATGTGCAAAGTCGATGAGTTTGAGTGAGTAAATGCGAGGAATATCGCCGTTCGAGGAACCAGAAATGCTCTCTGCGTCGGAATCCGCAGCGAATTGCATGTCATGGGAGCCAGGTGCCTGAGCCAGGTTCGCCAATATCATGTTTTGGCTGATGGCCGTGTTGATCGGGAACACCATTTGCCCCTCGTCATCCATCTCGATGCCACTATCAACGCGAGATGCAGATAGACCTGGCGTGTACGGTCCATCTTCCTTCTTGTATTGCTCACCCGACATGTCGGCTCTAGTCCGGTCAAGCGCAGCTCTCAGCGCGTTGCCATCTCCTTCGAATGTGAACAGCAAGCTCGCAGAGTACATTCTGCTCTCCTCCGAGGCCAACACCTCCTCGATGTGCCTTAGGTCATTAAGGAAAAGACCCGCAATGATCTTGCCGAGTTCCTCATCTATACCGGCCTGAGGATTGAAAATGAACTTGCGCATCGCCTCCACAAGATTATCCGCCTTGACTTGATTCCGGCCGTACATCTTGTCGTAGACCTTATAATCCTGCTCGTCCAGCTCACCAGGGTTGGTGGATCCCTTGTAAACGCGCATGCCGGCGATGCGAAACCCGTGCGAGCCATTTGTGGTTTCCTTGCTGATTATATCAAACCGCTTTTGCTTCTCCTTAGGCGCATCATCCGCCCACAGCCGCTTGCCGAGTTTAGCGTCCATAATGTTAGGACGCGTGTAACCGTACGCCGAATTCTCCAGTACCACCGACTTATTGGTCTCGATCTTCCTGGACTTGGCCTTTTCCGTCCACTCTTTGCCAACGCTCGGCGCGGGGGACTGGGCGGCGGCCTCAGCAGCCTGTTCCTTTCCAAACTTAATAATCTCTTCTTTTGTTTCCTTGGAGATTATTTCGGAAACAGCGGGGAGCTGTTCGTCCAAGTCCCTGACGCTTGTCGAATCGTTGAGTTCTAGCTCGCCCATAAAAACGGGCATCAAGTCGGCGAAAGCCTGGTGGCTCTCATTGGCCGTCTTGTAAAACTGGAGCTCCTGATCGGTGCAGGGCTTAATGAAGAGTTCGCCTTGAGAATCGCACAATGTACCGTCACTGCCCGAAAGGTTAACAACCCAGCCTTTCTATATAGTCTGGAGACAAGAAAGCAACATACTGGCCGGCAACCGCAAGGTTGTAGGGCTTGAGCTCATGGTGCTTGGGTATCGGTGTCGAGCCCATCATGTTTGCGGTTTGTATCAGGGCGTTTACCGAGATATCGCGTGTCGTGTCCTCGCGGTTTGGATGGGCCTTGGTGAGCAGACTGTTTGGCGGCAGTTCAGGTGAGAGGCGTCGCTGCTAGCTGACAGCAGAGGGGCACGAGTGCGACTTTTGGGCGGATCGTGACCGGCGCTCGCAATTTCATGGACTTAAGGTTGTCAGGTCGTGAGTAGTATTCGAAGTGATACACGTTTCAGGCAGCGGGCGCTCGATTAAAGTCGCATAGCAGTTGACATTCGGAGAAGGGAGAGGCCAAGGTCAAGGGCTCGGGACCTGGGGCTTATGTATTCCGGGAAACAGGAAAGGGGGAAAGGGGGGGGACAAACAAATTTGGAAGCCGATGTGTTGGAGGCGGAGTGGTACCCGTCATGCATCACCACATCCCACGGTCGTCGGCGAGGTTACCTCTACCTGCTGGTACAAGTGCTCAGCTGCCAATATGTGGCTGCAGTGGGTATCGATGTCAAAGGATGCACGTACAGCCCTTGTCTTGATGGGGAACCAAAGAGAGCTGGAGCTTCACCAACGCGCACTCCCCGCGCCAGTGTTCCATTCCAGGTTGGTTCCTTCCTTTGTGAGTTCCCTCACAGCGGTTCGAGACAGCCAGGCACGGACACTGCAACAGGGCACCAGATTTGCGGGAGGGCACGAGCGCTGGAAAATGCAGCGAGCGCGCTAGGTTCGTTGCAGATGGGGCGAGGGGCTGCGTCCAATCAGACGCGTTCATAGCCCTCCCCACCGGGCCCTTCCAGGAGACCAAAGACCCACTATTGGACCTTTCCAGCCTGGACGGCGGCAGGACAGACCGGGGGGTTTCCCGCGAGGGGGTGAGCTGCGCCTTCATCAAGTCACAAATCGAAGACATCTGGATGGACATTCTACCACTTTTCGCAATCTCAACATTTCACGATATTGAGAGGGTGGCGGAAGAGCCTCCTCCAAGTTTGACCACACAGCCACGTTTTTTCGACCTCGTTAATGGTCCCGCCATGCATTCTGCCTCGTCATTTCGTCCATTCAAAATGCGAGTCTTAGTCTTATTCCCTTGCCCGCCGCATCCGATCCGAATTTGGGCGCCGCATATCGCGAAGAGCGCGAATCAGAGCGGATCTTGGAACAAAAAAGGCCCTCATTCATATGATCAACGATGAGCAATAGTCAGCCATATATACGCGGGGTTTGTCTGATACGGGCCAACCGGTAGTTGGTGGATGAGCAAGACCGACGGTTGATGTGACTCGGTAGACCTGTGCTTGATGTCTCAGACGGTCGCAGTCGGAGGGCAAAATGATCAGGTCAAAGCCGGCTTACTGTTGTGGAAGTACGACAATGAGCCTCTCACATGGACAACCGTGGGTTGGCTGACCTTTCACCAACTGCCAACCTAAAATGTCTCGCATATACGTCAACGGCTCTTTGACTACCTTATTACACACTTACAGCGAGCGCTTAGCTAGGTAAACCGAATTGTTCGATCTCGATACCGTATATCTGACACCTGGCACAGATCAGATCGAGATTTGGGGTCCTGATACAAGTGTTGGGAACATTGGTCTATACACTAGGTACTCGCTCCAAAGCTGGAACGACCCCGGCTGCCAGGTTGGTATAACCTCAATTTCCACCCGCGTCAACGTTTACTCCCAGTGGAGAGACGCTTTTTAGTCTGCTATACCAAATATCTCAAAGAGGTAGCGCCCATACTTCCTTTCTATCGATATGTTTGTCCTATCGGCGCTTGTCGCAGACGCGAGTGTCCCGCCCCAAGCAAAGCAGCAAATGGAGGCGCCTATAGTGCGGAGTCAAGGGAGACATCCGCAGGAGGCTTGGTGGCGGGTAAGGGGTAGAGGTATCTGCAAGAAAGTAGAGGTAACTGTACTGCCACCACATGCGACCATATATTTCCACTTTGTCGGTCAGGTGTTGTGTTGGGAGATCAGTCGCCTGCTCTTTGTCTCTTCCTCGCGATTTTGATCTGAAAAAATGAGGAGTAGAAAGATCTTAGGCGCAACCTGGTACCGCTTTTTTCCGTTCAACTCGGATTTATCCCCACGTTATACTGGCCAATGAAGTAGTTTCGTGAGGTCTGCGTGCTACGTTGCGGCGTCGACCTGCATGTTGTTCTTAGATACAATTGGCCAAATAGCGTGGGGATAAATCCGAGATGAATGAAAAAAAGCGGTATGGCAGATGAGAGCTTACACTGGAGCGTTTGCAGTCTGCAGCTGTTTGGCAGGCGAGTGAAGAGAAAGCTCCTTCGTTCCTGCCGATTCAACACCACGCCAAGCCTCGTCACAACCGGAAGGTTTGTCTCGGAGTACCTTACCAGACCCAAAACTTCCATGCAGTTTGCAGTCTCTTCTAAGAAACCGTTTGGCAAGGTCATCCGGCATAGAGTCAGTGACTACCAGGTTTATCTCATGGACCACGGATGCGATGAAAACATGATGGTGCCTTCCGTTTACTACGCGGGAGAGCAGTGAAGGGGTTGACATCGGACGAGTGTCAGATCTCGAAATCGTCCCATCAACTATGGCAGGACTACCTCTACTGCCTTCTTTCCGCTTCCTTTTCTCTTCCGGTCCGTACTTTTGCCAGTACAAAATCTTTTCTCACGTCGGGAACCTTTCTCTGGACGCAACCTTACAGTCTTTCTCTACAATTTTGCCTTTCGCACACCGACCAAAAGGTAGCGACAACAAACCAGCAGGCAGTCTTAGCCGCAAAACAGCAAGCTTTGGCAAATCTGGACCACACGCGTACGTTCTGCGCAAGTTTCCCTCACCGCAAGACGATTCGTGAGTAAACCGTCGGCGAGTGTCCCTCCACCGTCACATCTTACACACCTGTCACTCACCGAAAGACCAACAGGGACGGAGAGGTGTAATATTTTCACAGCCACCACAAACCACTAGGCCTGAATCACTCCCCGCCCATCTGGTTCGCTTACACCCTTGAGCATGTCTACTCACGCCAATGACTCCGCCTCTTCGGGGGACGTTCCGGTGGAAGTGACCGCAGCCAGACCGTCCTCAGACAACGATAGCGCCGCCGCCCAGGTTGAGGAGGACAGCAAGCCGTCGAATGACAACACCAGTCCCGTTGATGGCAAGGAGAACATGGCCTTGACCGAAGATGCAAAGCCCAAGAAGAAGAAAAAGTCCAAGAAGAGCAAGAGTAAGAAGAAGCGCCCCACAGGCTTTGAAGGTGAGTTTGACGTCTTTCTCTATGACGATCGCAAGCCCACGCACTATTCCCATTTGGACGGCATATTGACATCTTTCTACTGTCAGAGTACTTTTGCGACGCCCCCATGACGCCGGCCGAGTACGAAGAGGAGAGGAAGTCCATTTACCCCCCCAACCGACCGTTCGTTGACCGCATCGAGGAATGCATTCAACGCTACCGTGCCCGTCGCCGCTTCGATAGCGCGAAGGAAAACTTATTCAGCAGATATCTGTTCCTGGGCGGCATTGATACCACCGCTCGCCAATTTCAGGGTACCGCGTCGCTCACCAGTCATGACTTGGACGGCTTGGACAAGGACGACATCCGTGACATCGCGGCCAACGACTACGTGGAGCGTAAGCCTGGTCTGCATGCTTCTCGCTACTATAATCCCAACCAGCCGGAGCACTGGGATGTCGATTTCACCGGCGTGGTCGCTGGATTTTTGTTAGTCCAACTTGTCTCCCCCTTGGCTGTTATAACGCTAACCTTCCCAGATCCGAGACCCTGGTTCGTCTGACCACCCCCGGAGCAGCAGACTATGCGGCTGGCGTAGATCTTGTATCCAACTTCCTCAAGTATGTCGATCTTCACGACGTCTGCCCCGAGTACGCCGAGGACATCAAGAATGCTCAAAGGGTGTGTCAGAAGGCCCACGAGGAGATGCCTTCGCTCGTCCAGATCCTCCGCCTCCTCCCAGGTAATTTCAGTTCTGCCGCCCGTCTGGTTACCTGCGAGGACGATGATGAAAACGCCTGGGCACGTGAAGTGATGGACGACCAAACCTGCCGCCGGAAGATCGGCATCGTGATGTCCATTCTTATGAGCTCCAAGTGCGGACACGAAAACGGCATCAAGTTCGAAGAGCTGACCGGATTCCCGACCGTCACCAAGACGATCACTCAGCAGGCGTACGAGGTAGTGGGCATCGTTTTGCCCAACGCCGAGTGCCACGCCAAGTTCAAGAACATTAACAAGCACCTCGGTGACGCCAACGCCAACGCGATCAAGCCCTGCGGCCTCCTTCAGGTGAAGCCCACCGTTATTCGCAACGGCTGGGAGAACACGATGCACAAGTCGGTGGAGGATGTCACCTACAATTTGGTGATGGAGGAGGAGATCTTGGCCCTGATGAAGGTTGGCTTCAAGTTCGAGATGGACATTTGCCTGTTGAACTACGGCATGGGATTCATCAAGAAATCCGTGGACGGCCATCCGACCTTTTACGAATTCCTGCCCCAGGAGCTTATGTGGGGATACAAGGAGCCGGTGGCGAATCCCAGGCCGGGCCCGAGCATTCACAACCCTACCGGATCGTTTGAGGGCGGTGATGGCATGGGCGACTTCTTGAACAATGACCCGGAGGATGATGCCCCGGGTGATGCTGCCCCGGGTGGTGCTACCCCGGTTGATACTGCCCCAGTTGGTGTTGCCCCGGTTGGTTCTGCCTCGGTTAGTTATGCACCCGAAGATGATGATGTTGAGTGGGCACTTTAGTTCGTGCAGGCTGCGCGTTGCAAAGACCCAGCCGAGTTGCCATGAACATGACTCGATGGAGAGACGGATAGAGCTGGAGAGCTTGGGGTGTGGTCTCACCACCGATGTTACATAGAATCTCGGCCGCTAAACGTGGAGGCTAGCTACCGACAGGGATATTCCACAATTTCCTTGTTCATCATGGACCAGAGAATTAGCACAGGTCGCTGAAAATAATCGAAAATTGAATTTCACTATTGCCGTTCCAAATCCCATGCTCCCTATATACCCTTACAATAACCCAACACCGGACGCGTGATTACCCCATTGTGGTAAGCCATCATCAAGAGCAGAAAACCCCAACGCGCAAAAGTATAACTTGTCCCATCCCTCCCTTAATATGCCTGCTTGACCCAATAATCTCCTAAAGCCCATCGATATCTTCTTAACCTATGCCAGAACCCTGATCAACAGCAACCGCTCATCCATGCCACGGAGATCCGTAAAAAGGAAACCACTGCGTCGCCAAAGCCAAATGCGACGGCCACGGTTGCTGGGGTCCGCAACACTGTTTTTCGTGACACTCACAAGCGCACTGGCAATCGCAATCCGCGCTCTTCCAATCCTTGAAAGAACGAATAGCATCCTCCGTCTTGGCAGATGTAGAAGTAGAAGTATTAACAGTGGGTGTCGTTGTGTCACCAGCGCCGGGTACCACTACTAGCTCCCGAGCAGCAGAAGAAGATGAAGGACCCTAATCCTGCGTCTGAATCTTATGATCACCCGCTACCACTTGCGCATAACTCGGCGGGGGCGCGGCATGGTCGTCGCCGCTGCTGGGGCCGGCATGCGCGATGCCAGAATCCTGAGGCGCGTGGCCAGCGGTGGTGCCGTAGTTCATGTTTCCTTGTCGCTGGGGCTGCTGGTGCTTGTTGGCACGTTGCTGGTGGCGACCACCGGTTTGGTTGCCGTTTTGATCGTGGACAAAGACATAGATGCGTTGACCACCTTCAACACGGCCGGACTCATTGGCGTCGTAGTCGAATGGCGGGGTCGGGTTCTTCGCGATGATGTACCAGGAGTGCAGGAGGCCGGGCAGGAAGCCGAGGACGCAGAGGAGGAGGTTGATGAAGGCGTCGGCGGAGCAGATGCCGGATTTTACCCAGACTGTTTTTGGGAGGAGGGGATGGGGTTAGTGGATGATCGTAGATAGCATCAAAAGGCGGCTTCGTGTGGATCGTGATGCTCAACTTACCAGGCAGAGGTGGGAAGAGAATAGCTAGGAAGCCGAGGAAGATGTCAGTGGAACACATTATTGTGCTTGTGTACCGTGCAACCTTAGTAAAAGAATGCCGATAAAGACTGAGAGAAATTCTGCGACACGTTTGACGATAAATAGGTAGCTAGAAAAACGAAGGTGTTGATGTTTAAGAGAGTCGAAAACGATGTAAGACGAATGGTGGAAAGATGGACTGATGGAGCATGGAGGCTGCGGAATGATGCAACCGATGGGGCTTCGTCACTGAACGGGTCACGCGCGGAAGAGGCCAGGCCCTGCGCCAGGCAGGGGGGCTTGCGTAAGCTGCGAGGAATCTGTCAGAATGCACGGTTGAGTTAAAAGTGGGTAAATCTCTGTATTGATGTGTGTGTGTAGAAGAGTGCTGTGGAACTAGAGTTGGGGGCTCCTAGAGTATTAGGGAGGTCTGTAGCTAGATTCTGGGTGGCTGGGAGGCTAGTCCTCATTTAGAGCCCCCTTCTTACTGGCTGGATTTAACCCTCCAAATTGATACACCTCCCCAGTTGAAGTCTTATAGAGACAAAACTGCCTAGAAATAAAGCTATTCCTAGTATTATATGACTATCCTAAGATTTATCTCTTTATTAATCTTATTTATCTCGATGTATACTATTATATTCTCCCATCTTTTCGATTCCTTGTCCTTTATTGAATCTATTCCTATTAGCTTTATGAACGTTATATGCTTCTAGAAGTCTAATACCTTCGTTAAACCGTTTGTAGGTATTTTGGCCGTTTTTAAATACTTGATTTTTATTCTTTTAGTAAACACCTCTTATTTTACCTAATATTTGTAGATATCTACGTATTTAAACTTTGTTATTAGTTTTGTAGCTTCTACGGTTAAGACCCTAATAGTTTATTAATTATTATAGTTTAGGGTAGGAATAGGATTAATTAGCCTTACTATAAGATTAGTAATAAATTTTATTATAAAGAGGGCTTCCTTAATTATATTAGTAAATATAATAAGCTTTACCTCGGTTATAGAAGTAGCTATAGTTACCCATTTAATAGTACTTTAATAAATTAGCCCTCTAAAGAATTATATTGTAAATCTTTAAGAATTTTTATAATTTGTAAAATTGTTTATAAATAACGAATCTAAAGTAATCCGGAATACTTTATTACTTCTATAGTAGAGTACTATATTAGTAGTAGTATAGAAGTAGTAGAGTATTTTATTTATAGCCTTATAATAGTTTGGATTAGGGTTATAATTATATTTAGAGAGACGACTAGCGGCGAAGGCAATATTTAAGCGTATAATAATAGCGGTATATAATATCGAACCTACTTTAACTTAATATAAGTATATTAAATAAAGGGAAACTTTATCTTAAAAGGGAATTAGCTCGACGTTAAATATAGGGATTGAAATAATACGTTTAGTATTTGTAAGGTAGTAAATCTTCTATAAATATAAGCGTTAAAATAATTAGATCTTTCTTACTTAACAGTTTCGAATAATTTCAATACCTAGGAACTATTATAGTTCGTTTCCTCTAAATATGTAATATTACTAATTAAAATTATCTATATATTCTTATATAGCGGTAGCCTTATTAGGGTAATACGCGAAAATTATATTATTAATATAATAAAAAACGAAGATGCCGTCGTTAACGAAAATATACGGCTCTTTAAAAATTAGTTCGAAACCTAAATTTTAAAAATACTTACAAATTCTCGTTATTAAAAGAGTAGGGAACGTTATAAGCTGTATAGAGCCTTAAATATTTTAAGGACATTCCTTAGAATTTTATAGCTTGGAGGTATATATATATAAATATTTTTATTTATATAAGTATTAACGAAGGTATTAACGGTATTATATTAAATAAATTCGAAGTTGAACCGGACGGTTATAGCGATAAAAGTATAGAAAGAGCGGCTAGCGAAAATAGAAGCGTATATTTCCTACCCTACCTTTTTTACTTATTGATTTCTATAGACGACGAGGTAGGCTTTAATTTTATTAAGTTTACCGTTTTTAAAGAACTTATACGTATATACTTATTTATAGTTAAGGATTTACTTACTTCGAATATGTAGCTCGTCCTTATCAACTTCTAACTAAATTCTTATTTCTTTATAGTTATTAAAATAGGTTTACTTTGTTTGTTTAAAGAGGTCTCTAGGGATATAGTAGTTAAAAGATTTATAGTTTTAGGCGCTAAGGGAAAATAGTATTTATAGATAGATTAAACCTTATTTGTATAAATTAGGGATTTAAACTCCCCTTTAGTAATAATTTTATTATTACGGATAAATCGTTATAATTCTATTTTTATAACGGGTTTACTGTTATATATTACTATAGGTTAATAAAATCTATTAGTATTAAAGGCGGCCTTCTAGGGCTCGCGAAATATACGTATAGGTTTTATTAATAATTATATTACTAGTTAAAATAATTTTATTTCTGTTTGTAAGAATAATATAATTTAATAAGCCTTTATAGTTTAATAATTTGCTTTGGCCGGCTATAGGTATTAATTTCCTTAGGAAGCCCGCGTTAAATAATTTATGATAGTAGGGGGCGTTAATAACTTTTAAATACAATAGATTATATTTACAATTATTCTATATTTTAAATAGTGTTTTATTAATAATTTTATTTGGATACTTATTCTTTAGGTAGACGATTGTTTAAAGAAGGATTAGCTATAAGCGACGGTTAAAATTACTATCCTTTAAAATAGTAGTAAAGCACTTTTATAAAATCCTATTGAAGCGTTCTAATGTACCATATTATTTATACTAATTAATTATTAAATATATTAATTATATAAAGCGGTTCGTATATTATAATTAAAATTATTTATTAGTATTTTCGCTAGCCCAATTAAAGTGAATATAGTAAATTCTGTTTTCTAACCTATTAAATTTGTTATATTACTATTCTACTATATAAAGAAACTCGTCCTTAATTTTAATAGTATAGGCCTAAACGTACTACGTAAAATTGTTTATAATAATAACCTAATACTATTGTCTTTATAGACCCTTAAAGCGAAAGGAGCTATAAATATTTATATAAATATATTTAAGGAGCTAATTCCCCTTGCGTATTAATTCTTTGTAAGGAATTTATTTTAAATGGCCTAATATATATTTATCATAAAAATAAGTATTAGGGACGGGGTAAATATTAGTAAATATCGTTTAAAGGGAGAGGATATTTCCTTTGCTAAAATTAGTAAAATAATTATATTATATTTTAAACTTCTTTCATTCGATAATATAAGCGGTGAAAATAAAGGGTAGTATTTAATTACTAGTTAGTTAATATACTATATATATTCTATTAGCGTTAAAGTTTTTAAAGCGGATTTTCTAATTATAGAGTCCTATTACTAAGCCGTTTCCGAATATTATAATAAAACCCTTATAATCGAATCATAATATAGATAGGAGGTTATAAGCGATCCGGGGTAAATAGTACGCGCCTTCTAATAGGATATAAGACGAATCGCCTTTATAAATAAAAGTACGTAATAAATAAATAATTATTACTTGTAGGGTAATTTTTATATTATTTATTCTTATAATAAGAAGGCTAGTATAGGGGCGAAGGCTTTCAAAACCGGCTTTATTATAGAAGAAGTAATTTGTAGTATTAGAATCGATAATAATAATATATTTAAAGTTATTTAGAAATTCGCGACGAAATTCTAAGGCGGATAGTATAGCGACGCGTTCTACGAGCCTAGAATTGAATAGCGGGGCTACAATAGGGAAAAGTAAATTAGCCGAAAAGGCATCGATATAAATAGGGTTAGAATTAATTAATTATATAATAATTAGATAATTCGAAGCGGTAAATATTAATAATAGTAAAGCTATTGAGAGCGTAGTATTTAAAGTAGTAAATATTAATAATAGTAAAATTACTAAAGACGGCGATATAAATAAAGAATATATAATTAATAAGGATGGATATAGGGACGGATATAGGGATAGAGAAATAAACAGCGGGTTAGTTATAATAAAATTGAATATTTGTTATAGGCATTACTGCCTTGTTCCTGTATATAGATGCACATGCACATGTGCTACATTGGTGCAGCCAGCTGAATATAGCTATTTAATTGTAGTATATTTAGTAGTCTGGGCATAGACTATTATTATGTGACGGTATGATTGTTCTGGGTAGGTCTATGTCTATAGACCTATACCCTATGCTCTATATAGTTCTCGTACGCGTATAGGATTCTCTTTTTATTCTTCATATAATAATTAAAATTTTACTTTAGTGTTTATTCGCGCCTTATAATACTTTATTGTACTTAACCTTCGTATTAAAGCGTAACGAATAATTTCGGATTAATTAAATTTAGTAAGAGTTATTATAGTAATTTAGTCTTCGCGATATTATTTCTTAGCGAATCGTATAATCGCCCATTTCGAATTAAAGATTTATTACAATAATAGTCGATATTGAATAAGTATTTAAAAATATTATAAGTATAAGCGTCGTAGAAGAACGATATGGTAAATATTTTTTTTTAATTATTTTAATTACTTAAATAAGATATTTAGCGCCTAGATCCTTAGCGATAGTTAAATGGACTTTACTATAATCTTTCCGTTATTATTAGATAATTTTAACGTTTTATTAGTTATTTATAATAATAACCCTAATTTAGGCTTGAAGGTTTTACCCGACTTCGCAATATAAGTATATAATTACGAGGAAATTATAAAATTACTTTATTATTTTAATAAGAAGATTAACGAATTAGATAAAAATGTTATAGCTTAGTAGAACCGGGCGTTTCAATTCAAATAGGAGGTTAAAATTTATATCGAAAAAATCGAAGTCGATACTAATAAGGCGATTAAACGTATTAATACCCTCGAAGCTACGAAGAAGTAATTTATTAAATAATTTAATACTTTATAGGCTCAATATAATTTAATTATTAATAATAATACTTCGTTATAGTTTAAAGTAGTTATTTTCGAGTAAGATAAGATTTAATTCAATTATAATTTAGCGATTATAATTAGTAAGAAGGAGGGCGATTATTTGAAATTTCCTAGATTTATTAAAGATAATTAATATAATTTTAAAAGATAATTATATTTAATTAAATAAAGTACCAATTAAAATTATATT